GACCGCACTACCCTTTCGCCGCTCGCCAGGCCGGTTGCGGTCTCCCTTGCTGACCCCTCTGGGGGTCCTGTCCTGTCTCACTTCTCCACTGTCCTCCCGTGTCCGGCTGCCCCTTCGGGCACCCTGTCGGGTCTGTACCTTCCCTCGTTCTCTACGAACTTGGTGAGTGGAGCGGACCTGCAGGATGGGGGTGTTCACCAGTTCACTCCTGCGCGTCAGAGGGTGACCCACTGCACGGAGGCTCGCACAGGCCGGCACCTGGCCACGTTCTCACGTCGGCCGGGGTCGAGTCTCTACACCCTGACCGTTGAGTCTCCTCCTGTCCCTGCGTCTGGTCAGGTGGCTGCGTCGGGTCAGGTACTTGCTGCTGCGTCCCGGTCAGGTCCTGAGTCTGCCCCCTGTTCTTGTCGCCTCCTGTCTCACGAGACTCTCCTGTGGCACCACCGTCTTGGCCACCCCTCCTTGCCCCGTCTTCGGAGCATGGCTTCCCGTGTCCTTGTCTCTGGTCTTCCCCAGTCTCTCCCTCCTCTCCCCTCCGGGCCAGGACCTTCCTGTGTCCCCTGTGTCGAGGGTCGCCTCCGGGCTACTCCTCACTCCTCCCACTTCCCCCCGACAGAGGCTCCCCTGCAGACGCTTCACATGGATGTGTGGGGCCCAGCCCCCGTCCGTGGGCAGGGTTACGAGCGCTACTTCCTGTTGGTGGTTGACGACTACTCGCGTTACACCACAGTCCTCCCCTTGCGCAGCAAGGGTGCGGTCACTGAGGTGCTGATCGACTGGATCCGCGAGGCTCGTCTCCAGCTCAGGAAGAGCTTCGGCTCGGACTTTCCTGTTCTGCGTCTGCACTCTGACAGAGGCGGAGAGTTCTCTTCTCGCCTTCTGCGAGACTACTGTCGTGCACGGGGGATCCGCCAGACCTTCACGCTTCCGGACTCACCACAGCAAAATGGGATTGCTGAGCGCCGCATTGGCATGGTCATGGATGTCGCTCGTACGTCCATGATGCATGCGGCTGCCCCCCATTTTCTGTGGCCGTTTGCGGTGAGGTACGCGGCGCATCAGCTCAACCTTCACCCCCGGGTCTCTCGGCCAGCGATGTCCCCAGCCTTGCTGTGGACGGGGAAGGTTGGCGATGCGTCTGTGTTCCGTGTCTGGGGATCTCGGGCGTTTGTCCGCGACTTGTCTGCGGACAAGCTGTCCCCTCGTGCTGCTCCCTGTGTCTTCCTTGGCTTCCCCACTGACGCCCCAGGGTGGCAGTTTTACCACCCCTCCTCTCGTCGTGTTCTGTCCTCTCAGGACGTCACGTTCGACGAGTCAGTCCCCTTCTACCGTCTCTTCCCCTACCGCACTCCTTCCCTCCCCCCTCCCCCGGACTTCCTTGTGCCGGTTCCCCCCCCGGTAGACCCCCTCCCCCCTCAGGTTCCTGCCCCCTCAGGTGTGTCCCAGGTAGACGCCGTTGACCCGGTCGAGGTTACTGGTGACTCTGGTGCTGCTGCGGGTGCTGAGCCTGGGGGTGCTGACTCTGGGGGTGCTGTGCGCGGGGGTGCTGAGCCTGGGGGTGCTACTGCTGGGGGTGCTGGGCCTGAGGGTGCTACTGCGGAGGGTGCGGAGCCTGGGGGTGCTGAGCCGGGGGGTGCTGTGCCTGGAGGTGCTGGGTCTGGGGGTGCTGGGTCGGGAGCTGCTGAGCCTGGGGGTGCTGCGTCTGGAGCTGCTGAGCCTGGGGTTTCTCCTGCTGCTGCGTCTCGCCGGGAGCCCCTCTCTCCACAGGAGCTGCGCGAGTGGTTCGCTCGCCGCTGGAGGCGTGCTGCTGAGTCTGGAGGTGCTGCTGGAGCTGGAGCTGGAGCTTCTTCGACCGTCGAGGGTGCGGGTGCAGCCGGTCCCGGAGCTGCTGGCCCTGCAGGTCCTCCTGGAGCTGGAGCTGCTGAGGGCGTTCGTGCTGAGCCTGCTGCTGTTGGTCCTGCCGCTGGAGGTGTGGGTGGCGCTGGTGCTGTCGCTGAGGGTGCTGGTGCTGTCCCTGCTGAGTCTGGAGCTGCCGCGCGGCCTCGGCCGTACTTCGTTCCGCTCCTTCAGCAGGTTCTTGGTCTTTCTCCTCCAGTAGAGGGTCCACCGCCTGTCCAGTCGCAGCCCCTACTGGAGCCTTCCTCTCCGCTGCCTGCTCCCTCTCCTTACACTGGTCCTACTGGAGGTCTTGCTGAGCGTCGTGAGCCTGCGTCTCGTCCCGCGTCGCCTGTTCGTGCTGCTCGCGCTAGTGGTCGCAGTTCGCGTCAGCGTCCTCCTCCTGTCCCTGGCACGCACCGGATGTCTTTACGTCCGTCCACTGCTCCTCTGCGTGCCCCTTTGCCTTCTCCTCCTGAGTCCTCTCTTCCTGCGCTTGCGGACCCTGAGTCGGACTCTCTTCGTGCTGCCAGTCCCACTGTCACGCGTCTGCTTGCTACTGTCGTCACTGACCCCTCTTTTGAGTCCACTGCTGCGTCTGCTCTAGTTGCTGAGCTCGTCGACTTTGCTGCTCGCTGTCGTCTCGACTACGCTGCTAGTCTTGTTGCTGAGTCTGCGTCTGTCTGTCCTCCGTCCGTCGGGGGTGAGTGTGCTCTTGGCACGGACGTCCTAGAGGACAGACAGGAGGAGTTACAGTGTCTAGCGACTGCTTCAGCTCATCTCGCGTCTGTACTGCTTGCCCCTGAGGGAGACCCGGATGCACTAGACATCCCGACTCCGCGTTCTTACGCGGAGGCCGTAGAGGGCCCCTACTCCTCTCAGTGGCAGGCAGCTATGGATGCAGAGATGGCTTCCTGGAAGTCCACAGGCACCTACGTTGACGCGGTTCCCCCTCCTGGGGCGAACATCGTCAGTGGCATGTGGATCTTCAGGGTGAAGCGGCCGCCGGGCTCTCCACCTGTCTTCAAGGCACGGTACGTTGCTCGTGGCTTCAGTCAGCGGCAGGGAGTTGACTACTTTCAGACCTTCTCTCCCACCCCGAAGATGACTACTCTTCGGGTGCTGCTGCACATAGCCGCTCAGCGCGACTACGAGCTTCACTCTCTCGACTTCAGCACTGCGTTCTTGCAGGGTAGCCTGCACGAGGAGATCTGGCTTCGCCGTCCACCTGGCTTCACTGGGACTTTCCCTCCTGGCACCCAGTGGAGCCTCCGACGGCCAGTCTACGGTCTCCGCCAGGCACCGCGTGAGTGGCACGACACCCTGAGGACTACGCTTGCGGCTCTTGGGTTTGCTCCTTCTACTGCTGACCCGTCGCTGTTTCTTCGCACCGACACTTCCCTGCCGCCGTTCTACATCCTCGTGTACGTCGACGACCTGGTCTTTGCCACAGCGGACACTGCTGGACTCGCCTACGTGAAGTCCGAGCTGTTGAAGAGACACACGTGCACAGACCTGGGTGAACTGCGCAGCTACCTTGGCTTGCAGATCACTCGGGACAGAGCACGCCGCACCATTACCTTGACTCAGTCACACATGGTGCAGCAGGTCCTTCAGCGCTTCGGCTTCACGTACTCCTCGCCTCAGGCCACTCCTCTGCCTACTCGCCACTCACTCTCAGCTCTGCCTTCGGATGAGTCCGTAGAGTCGAGTGGTCCGTATGCGGAGCTTGTTGGCTGCCTCATGTACCTGATGACCTGCACACGACCTGACCTTGCATACCCTCTGAGCATTCTTGCACGCTATGTTGCTCCTGGGAGACACAGACCGGAGCACATGGCTGCAGCGAAGAGGGTATTGCGCTACCTGTGCAGTACGTCAGGCATGGGGCTAGTGCTTGGAGGGCGGAGTCCAGTGGTCCTTACCGGCCACGCGGACGCGTCTTGGGCTGACGACCAGGCTACGCAGCGGTCGTCACAGGGTTACACCTTCAGCCTTGGTTCCGGCTCTGTCTCGTGGCGGTCTACTCGCTCGTCTTCGGTTCTCGGCTCCAGTTGTGAGGCTGAGATCTACGCCGGGGCCATGGCTGCACAGGAGCTTCGCTGGCTCACCTACCTGCTGACTGACCTTGGAGAGCCGCCTCGTTCTCCTCCAGTGCTGTACGTAGACAACAAGGCTATGCTGGCCTTGTGTCGAGAGCAGCGCTTGGAGCACAGAACGAAGCACATTGCTCTCCGCTACTTCCTTGCTCGTGAGCTGCAGCAGCGTGGTCAGTTGCGACTTGCGTACGTGGCCTCTGAGGCCAACACTGCTGATGTGTTCACCAAGGCACTTGCGCCTTGTGACCATCAGCGCTTCTGCACCCAGCTGGGTCTTGTGCCTGTCTTGCCTCACTTGCTCTCCTCTTGACTTCACTTGTACTGTGACATATATATATATACCTGCTCTTGCTTGTCTAGCTTTATATATATGTCTGTACTCTTGCTTGTGAACTGGCCTTTGGCCTCACTCTTGTGCTCGGACTGTGTGGTGACTTTGTGATCCACCCTGAGCTTTGCTTTGTCTTGCTTGACTGGTCTTGTGACCCCTTGTTCTCCCCCACTTTGCCTATGGGGGTGTGTCAGAACATATCTATAGCTTATACTGTTGTGTAGGCTGTAGTGGGGTATCCCATAGGGGGTACAACCCAGTTAGGGTTTCATATTTGTACTGCTTTCATTCATAGTTCATTCATTCCTGTTTTCCTACTATCACACGTGTTTGGCGCGCAACTGTGATTTCAACACTCTTTTTCGTTCACGCCGCGCTAGATCACTACAGTTTGAAATATCATAGTTTCATAGCATAGTTTATGGGTGTGTTTTTTAGTTTAGGCACGTTAATCCACATATATGCATGTTACCTTGCTTCCTCGTTCGCCGAATCAAAGTTCACTGTAACATTTTCTGGGAAAAGGCATGGGAAACAATGGACATATGGGGTTGAGAAGTCGCAAACATTCACTGTGTCGCTAAAAATTTCAGATAATAAGCCGTGCGAAAAAAAAGCTCATGGCTGGTTGCGTCGTGGCATTTTCCCCATTTGGTAAGTTTAACTAGTCGTCAACCATCACTATCCTCAAACCTATGGCTCAGAACGGGGGACAGTTAGTACGGGCAGGCACCAGGAAAAGAGTTTTGCCAGATCCAGCAGGGGTCACCTTGCCCCACCCTCATTCTGCTCTCAATCTGCTCGATGCCTCTGCACTGTCTCAGCTGGGAGATGACGTTCTTACAGAAGAGATTAAGAGGCGGCAGCTAGCTAAAGAGGCTGCCTTAAAAACAGCTGCAGTCAACACTCTCCACGGCGCTCCCACGGTTGGTAAGACAGCAGCTGAAGGCCGTTGGGGCGGGTCTAAGAGGAAACGTGCTGCCGCCGGCTCTGGTGCGCGTGGTCGATCCTCTGGTGCGAATGGCAACATTCCTGCAAGCTCGCCATCCGCCGACAACCCTACCGCCGGCACTTCGTCAGAAGCAGAAGGCGCGAACCCTGCACCGGTGGCAGAAGCAATGGACACCACGCAAAACGGCGCACCAACCATAGGTGGCATAGTCTGCGGTATCGCGTCAGACGCAGATACTGGAGCTCTCCCTGCACCCCCCGTGCCTGCCGCCGGAGCCCCGGGTCTGATGATGGCAGCAGTGATTGAGGCCGTAGAGGAGGGCAGCGTGGATCCCTTCATCGCATACGGCATTGAAGCTGGTAGCGACGACAAAGACGGGAACGACGACGATGCAGATGATGCTGACGGCGTCCAAGCGGGAAACGACGATGAGTTGCGCGTAGTGGAGGTTCGCGCTGCGGAAGTGTGCGCGGCGGAGGTCCGGGCGGCGGAGCTTCGGGCGGCGGAGCTTCGGGCGGCGGAGCTTCGGGCGGCGGAGATTCGAGCTGCGGAGATTCGGGCTGCGGAGGTTCGCGCGGCGGAGGACCGCGCTGCGGCGGTTCGCGCGGCAGATGTGCGCTCTGCCGAGGCTCGCCAGACGGAGCTGGCGCCGCACACTTCGCAGCCTAATAACCCGGCAGCACCCGCTAGGCGTGAATGGTCGCAAGGTAAGCAAACGCAACACGCTCATAGCTGCGGTGCCAGTTCTTGAATTGTTGCTCAACTCCATCCTACGTTCCCCCCCCCCCCCCGGCCCCCCACTCGCCCCCTCCTCTCGCCAATGTGTTATGCATTTTATTTCTATGAGCTGAGCTCCGTTGTTCATAACGTCGGCTGGATGACTGTCTAATTGTTCTTTCCACTTGCTTGTTGTCTGCCTTTCTCGATACGTGTTATTCCCGGGGCTTGTCCCGTAGTTGCTGGTGCGCACCATTTCAAGGAAGCACGACAGCTGGAGGCGCTATTGCGTGACCTGCAGAACACGGTCTCCACTCTGAACGCGCAACTGCAGGAGGCAAGGGTCAGGATCAAGGCGGTGGAGGCTGAACGCGATAGTCTGAAAACGCAGTTGGAGTCGATGCATCGACAGCTTTCAGTAGAAGTCGTTGGAACGAGCTCGGACGTGGGCGCCCTTTGGGACCCTTCTGACCCCCTAGTCCGAATGGAGAACGTCCGTAAGGACGTTGCGAGCAACCCGACCATTCCGTCATCAGTCAGCAGCGACGATGCATTCGATGTAAGTTAGTTAACCGAGGTGCCATTCTGATAGTATGTATTTTCGGATGTGCTGTCCTTTTATGTCTTGCAAGTTCTATCTTTAAACCCTCCCCCAACCCTTCCTCTCGCTACCGCTCTCGGCCCGTCCACCACTTCCTTCTGTCCGTCTTTTGTGAGTCCCGTCCACAAACTTGTGTGTAGCATGTCCGGTGCCTGAAATTTAACCCCCTCACCCTTGTGCATCCTTGTGTTGATTATCAGGAAATGGTGGGTAAAACCTTCGCCTGGCTCATCACCCTTGCCCCTGCAGGAGAGATGGAGTTCTATCCTCTGTGGGAAAAATTCCAACCGCATTTGGTGCGCAAGTACATAGCTGAGGGGACCACGCAAGATGAGTACTACCTCTTCATGGGCGGGAACAGCAAGCGCATTGATCGGGCGCTGAAGGTGATTGGCTGCAAACGCGCAAACATGAACAAGCCGATCAAGCTCTGGGCGTGGGGTGCTGGTGGCGTCATTGCCCAGGATAAGTGGTTCCTTTTGAGGTTGGTGGCATCAATCCATCAAAGGCGCGCAACGAAAAGGAGTGGGTGGAGCAATTCAAACACCGTGAGTGCTTGTCTTTTCTCGCATCCGCACCATGCTGGAATGTTCTTGCGCACAGATCTGATTGCCATTGTTTTTATATTCGCAGCGAAGTATGGCTACGACTGGCATTGCTCTGCTCAGGGCCACCCTTTTGCGAATGCAGCCTTTGAGCTGGCAGTCAAAAAGGCATTCGTCAGTGCCCGGTGCAACATGTTTGCAGTGAAGATACCAGCGGTCGGCTATCTGTGCAACGTGGTAAGATGTCACTTGTGTTATTTGATCCTATTTGTTTCCCCCTGAATATTGTTCTTAACTGAAGCGCCTTTCATTGATGGCATGTTGAATGGCCATTGGAGAACCACAAGGGCAAGAAGGGCCATGCATATCTGGACAACAATGAGACCAACAACCGCAACAACGTCCATGCCAAGACGAGGGTGGTTGCTGCCTAGCTGAAGGAAACCCTTGAAAGGGAGCCTGCCACGTTCAAGATCGATGAGCCTATGGGGTTTCAGATGGGCATTGGGAAAGTTAGGATTTTGATACAGGGATATGAGCTGTTTTTCTTCCCCTCAGGGGTCGTTCCAACCCCTTGGCCTCCTATTAACAACCTGTGAATACTTTCTAAATGTAGTAGGTTTTTTCTAATTGACGATTTTATGATTTAGAGTATTATGTAATCACTAATTCTGCATAATTATATCAACCTTTTTATATCTTAGTCAATGCAGTTTTATATCAATGTAGCAATAATTTTAAATATATTGAGATCTGTTGCATACAATCACGTCACTTTATTTTCCACACCTGTGACTATATTGAGTTGTTAATTTCCAGGAGTACAACAAATTCCTCGATAACGAGCTGAAATATTTAGTTTAGCTGGCTACAATTGAAAGTTAGTTGCTCAGGTAACCATGTCGTAAACGCCAGCACATCTTCCCAATTGTTCGTCGCAACGGTGTGTACCACCAGTTCCTGCCCTAAACCGATGTTGTTCCTACAGTCCACGTGGCCAATCGAAGCTGACACCTCGAGCTGATTTCGACTGCAACCTGCAGAATCCGTTCGTTGTTGCTGCGTCAACCACCACACAACCGAACTACCTTCGGACCGAAAAGTGGTTGTCAACCAGCGTTGACAGCACCACCTGTTTTGGGCAGATGACTGCCTCGTTAACTAGGCAAGCGGAACACGACAGTCAACTCCCACGCTCCCGCCTCCTCGACTGTTAACTGCCCCAAACTGGGCGGACATTTTTCTGATGGATGAAGGGTCAGTCTCTAGTAGCAGAGAGCTGAGAAAGAGTCGTTTGGCCGACTCACTGATGACGCGGCTCGGTGAGCGCCGCGAGCGCGTGCCGGCATGGTGGCTCGGCGTCTTTGCCCTGCTCATCGCCGCATTGCCATCACCATTGGTGAACGCCGTGCCACTCGAGTCCACGCAAGGTGAGGACTCATCTGATGAGAGCGGCGGCTCCGACGGTGCCGCATGCGACGGTGAGCAGCCGCGGCGTTCCTACTACTACTACTAGTAGTAGTATAGTAGTATAGTAGAGTATACCACTCCGGGTGCCCTGGGACATCATGTCAGGATTAGACTTGGACGCCACGATGACTGCAGACTCGATCATCGATCTGTGATAATGATTTCCACCAAAATCGTGTATCGATCTGCTAGTAGTACGTTTCATAAGGTAGAGCGGCAAGGGCGGCGCTACTACTAGCAGCCTCCTCGTTTTGCTGACGATGCTGCTGCGGGTACTAGAAGCGATTTTCACGACGTGTGGGGAGAAGGATACGAGGCACCATGGGTCAGCACGTACCAACTACATGAGGCTCTGATCTACATAGTAATGCTGCTACCTCTTGTATCACCACGGATTAGACACGTACCTGAAAACTCACGGATCTTTCTTCCCCCTTCTCCTCCCCTCCCCATCTCCCTCCTTCTCCGCTTCCCCTCCCCACCCCCAATCCTCTCCACGTTCCGCCACCCGTTGCATTCCATATGTGCAGAAGTTGAGGGCCGAGGGAAAGCGTTATGGCAATGCCGCTCGGACGAAGAATAGGCGGCACAGTCTAACGTCATGTCTCGATCCAGCAGCATCATAAGTACTCCATTCGACACGTACCTACATCACAGGATTCCTTCCTCCCCCCCCCTCCTCCCCACCCCACTTGCCGCCACGCGTTGCAGTGACATTCGTGCAGGAATGCCAGACGGCATGGGGGCAGACCATCGCTGGGTGGAGTGGCGCGAGTCCCGAGTGCACCACCGCAACTGGCCTCACATGCGACGCCAGCGGATTTATTCTCTCCTTGTGAGGCGAATGGGAGCGCTGCTTTCAGATGGTGGATTTTAGGGATAGATTTGACGCTATGGGTTTGAGGGTTTTTAAGGCGTTTCGATAACCTGTGATGATGGTTATGGGGTGGTGTGTGTGGGTAGTGTTCTGGGCTGCCGCCTACCAGAGCTCTTACGTTAGCATCGATTGACATGCCCTTGTTGACACCATTGTTGCCATTTGCCATTGTTTGATGCACCATGAAACAGGAAACTCCGCAACTACAAACTGGCAGGGCAGATTCCAAGCTCTGTCAGCAACCTCATTAAGATCACCTATCTGTACGTCCTCCATCTTTCATGCCCACGGTTGGTGTCTGGGAAATTCGGGTTTTTTGGCATTCTTCCGTGGGATGCTTGCATGCCGTCTGCGACAGTTGGCTTGTCTGAGCTTGCAGTTCCAGCATCGACGGAGCTATCCGTCTATGAGAAGCTTGAAAGGGCGAATGCAATGCGCTTTGCGCCCATGAAGCACGCGAGCCGAGCCCACGGCGTTAAGCGTGGCTTGGAATTGAGCAACCACACCCTTTCCTTGGTTTGACCCCTTACAACTTTTACTCGCCTGTTTGCTGATGTGGTCGTCCCTCACAGCGATCTTGCAAGCAACCAGCTGACAGGAAGCATACCTGCAACCGTGACTGCACTCAGCCTGCTGAGATACTTGTGAGATGCGCACCAGTGTCTGCCACGTCTGCTGTTATTTTTTCCCATAGACGTTTACCTGCATTGTGTGCTCTCATGCATTGTGTGCCACCTGTCCATCACTTCACCTGTCCGCATACACACCTGTCCGTGGCCTCACCTCTCCGTGCAGGTGGCTGTTCAACAATACGCTCACCGGCCCCATCCCAACCGACATTGGCTCCATGACTAGCCTTGTATCCATGTGAGACTTCTGACTCCTGTGCTTGCTTGGTCGCATTATCTGCCCTTCAACAAACTACGTGTGCTGGGTGCAATGCATGTGACGTTCGCCTTATCTTCATCATGTGCGAGCTAGGTCGGTCCTCATCCTTTGCTGTATGTCTGCCTGCCTCGGTGCCTTTTTACATTACGTTGGTCCATCAGCGCTCTCTACACCAACATGCTGTCAGGATCCGTGCCCGCTTCAATCTCAAAGATCACTGGACTCACGTTTTTGTAAGATAATCAGCTGCCCCCCTTGGAGCGATTCCACTTGCCGCTTGTCTGAAGGTCAAGTGATCCCACAAAGAAGCATCCCTCTTATTTTCGTGCATGCTTATATTTGCCTCATACTCTTGCTGGGCCTCCTGCTCTCTCGCCTCATTCCCGCTTCATGCTCATAACTTCACATTCACCAACCCTCTGTCATCTTGCTGAGCTCTAGGCTCTGGCGAATCAAGTCTTGCACATGTTTTGCTGTCTCCTATACTTCCCTTGTGACTAACCAACCATTCCCTTGCACCAATAACAATGTCACACAACACCGCTTGCCTCCTTACCTTGCTTGTATACCGTGGTCGGCTCGCCTCCATCCTAACCCATTCTGAACCGACATCCTCTTCCTTCCTTGAGTCCTGGTTGTTCCATCGTGTCCTCACACTGCATGCGGAGTGGCTGAGCTTCCCACTGCGTGCGGAGTGGCTGGGCTTCCCACTGCATGCGGAGTGGCTGGGCTTCCCACTGCATGCGAAGTGGCTGGGCTTCCCACTGCATGCGGAGTGGCTGAGCTTCCCACTGCATGCGAAGTGGCTGAGCTTCCCACTGCGTGCGGAGTGCACTGCATGCAAAGTGGCTGGGCTTCCCACTGCATGCGAAGTGGCTGGGCTTCCCACTGCATGCGAAGTGGCTGAGCTTTCCACAGCGTGCGGAGTGGCTGAGCTTCCCACTGCATGCGGAGTGGCTGGGCTTCCCACTGCGTGCGGAGTGGCTGGGCTTCCCACTGCCACCATGCCCTACCCGCCAATGCGCCTTGCTCGCTACCCAGCCAGTGCTCGCAAGATGCCCTGCCCTTGCTTGTTTCACCTCTCACCCTCTTGACGTTGCCCCCGTTATTTTCAAACCCTGTCTGGGGCAGGTCTCTCGCTAGCAACCAGCTCACCGGCCCCATCCCTGCAGACATTGGCTTGCTGAACCGGCTGGCTAATATGTAACGACACATATTTCCTTCAGTCCTCAACTTAATGCTCTCCACGCTGCCATTTTGCATCCTTTCGGTACTGTGTCATGCCCGCTGGTTCGGGTTTGGCTGGCAATGGTCCACGCTCTTCTGCCATGTCATGCATTTTCCTTAGTCCCTCCTCCACCCTTGTAAACCCATCCACCTTCTGTTGTTCCCTCTGTCATGTCACGTTTTTGTTCGCAGTGATCTTTCAACCAACCAGCTTTCAGGAAGCATTCCTGCCAGTGTCAGTGCTCTTGCTCAAGCCACCATCCTGTACGTCGCACACAAGTGATGTGGGCAAAAAGAGAAGCGCCCAAGTGCCATGCCATTGCCGCAGCAAAGGGTACAGCGCTTGTGAGACTGTTCCATTGGGGCTGCTTGTGCCTGTGTAACATGACGTGTTGCCTTTTCCCCTCATGCGGGTCACTGTTACCCCACCTCTTCCTGAATTTCCTTCCCGTTTCCACAATCAATATCCTGCTTTAAATCGCAGGTATCTTTCTAGCAATCAGCTCACCGGCTATATCCCTGACGAGATTGGCTACATTTCTAAACTATCAGCGCTGTAATCAATCACCCCCCCCTTCACCCCTTTCCACTCTCCTAGAGAACCTCCCCTTGTGTCTGCTTTTCGCCATCTGATATCCTTCCCTCTTCTTCACTGCTCATTTACTCTTGCGCACACAAATGCGTGCTTTCCTATTGCCAGCTACCTTCAATTCTCTCTCCCCTTCTCTTTCCTTCCCCTCTGATGCAATCACTGTCAGCTCAACAGTCCCCAGAGGTGGCCTGAGAACTCCAGAGTGCGCCACACCCGTGTGGCTCCCATGCTGTCTCTGCTCCTCTAGTCTCCTCACAAGTCACCACCTCTGCCCTTCACCACCTGCCCCCCCCAGCTCTTTCCGCCTCAACAGGCTGTCAGGATCCTTGCCTGCCTCAATAACAAAGCTCACTGCACTCACAACTTTGTAAGGGTTTGACCTGTTCTTCGTGGAACAGAATTTTGCTCAATCACTAATTTTGTGATATGATAACGTGGTAGCAAAGCCACTCAGCACGCCCTAACAACTAAATTGCCCTGTATGCATGCTCCCCTCGTTGCTCCATCTCTCTGCTGCTGTTCTTTGAAAATACCTCCTCCCAGAGCTCTGAGCAACAATCAGCTCACCGGAACCATCCCTCCCGACATTGGCTTGCTCTCAAAACTTGTATCTCTGTGAGCCATTTCATTCCGATGCTCAGGTCTGCCTGTCTCTTGTTGCCATCACTTTACTTGTTCTCCTGTTGATGGAACTGGCATGGTCTTTGCTTTGCATACACAGTGCAGGATGGGTAAAGACCGTTAACCCTGATTGTATTGTTGGTACACGTAATCTAAAAGTATAATTCCTAAACCCATTGGCAGCTTCTCTTTTCTGCCTACCTCTCCATGCCCTTTGTCGTTCATTTCCACACCTCCCACACCGCCATCAGCTCTTTTTTCTCCAACATGTTGTCGGGATCCGTCCCCTGCTCCATCGCACAGCTCACTGCACTCACATTCTTGTAATTTGACTTCATGACCTGAATGCCCATTCAAAGGATATGGCACTACTCTAATGCGTGCCGGCCCCTACAAGGATATGGCATTACAATGCGTTTTCCACTTGGGCGGAAAGGAAAGAAAGGTGTTTGGTTGCCCATATAACGCAGTGGCAGAATGATGTGGTTTCTTTCCACAATTCCATCAGATTGATTCTTTTTATAGAATGACTTGGGTGAACAGAGAGGTAGAACAATTTGAACACCAGAGGATCTCAAAACAGGTTGAATGACACGCTGCAGGCGCGCCAGAGGAACTCAAACACGAAGACCGAAGGAGCCATTGATGGAAGTGGCTGCTTCAGAGTGGAGTGCATTTCAGTTTTTTCCAGGGTCCTGCCCCACCCGAATTTCTGATTGGACATTAGTGGAACATGCAGGCCAAAGAGTTTTTTTCTGTTTCGTTTCTTGTTTATTCCGGCGTCCTGTTAATTTGTAACTTCTCTTTTAAAACCAGTTGGAACTTCTGGTTTAGGCTTTAGAGGGTTGTACAGATCTACAGCTGCTGGGTTCTCTAAAATCAAAGGCTTTCACCTTGTACGTAGTATTATGTGCTGCCGTATGTGTCAACCTATACCCTCTCTCTCACCATTGCCCATCTCTATGCCGTCTCCTTTGCACACTTCCTTGCCTCTTGCTTATCCCCCTCTCTTAAACAGCTCCGTTGCTAGCAACCAGCTCACCGGTCCCATCCCCGCTGAGATTGGCGTGCTCACAAGCCTGATCGCTTTGTATGGATACGGGTGGAATTATATCGCTGCTGATTATGTTCTGCATTCTCCTCGTAATCCTTGCTGCTACCGTCTTCCCCTCTCCTTCATTTGTTCTGCTCCTCGTTCCTCTCAAAGTACTAGATTTCCGTTGACCTTCTTGGCTCTCTTGTTCAGCCTGGTCCCTACCCGCCTTCCATCAGTTTGTTGTGCTCTCGCATGGCTTAAAATCTGTTGTTTTTTTTTCTTGTTTCTTTTATTCAGAATGCCCAAGACGACGTTTCTTTTAGTCTGTCTGCCCTCCTTTTGCATACTATGCTACTATTGCCTCTTTAACACAATAAATTGTATTATACGTTTAACGGGTTACTCACTTTGTGAGGACTCGAAATTCGATTGATCATTGGCTAGAAATTTGTTGCTTACTTTATGAGCCTCCAGAGATCTTTCAGGCAACCAGCTTTCAAGCAGCATCCCTGCCAGTGTCAGTGCTCTTACTCAACTTACTGTCCTGTGAGTCATACAGAAACGAGAAAGGTAAGAAGGGATTGGCTTGGCTAGTGCCGGATCCGGCTCAACGAGCCATGCTCAACTCAGCTGAATACTCGTTATGCACATCACTATCATTCCAGCCATTGTTCGTCTGGATAGATTTGAACATCTGCTCCCTTTCCCTGCTCACCTCAGCCTCCGCCTCTCATTATATCTCACTTCTGTGTTGTGTCATTCAGAAACCTCTTAAAAAATCAGCTCTCTGGCCCCATCCCGGCTGAGACTGGTTCCATGTCCAGACTTGCATCCCTGTAAGCCCCTTACCTCGTAACATTTTTCCTGCCCACCGCTTGTGTTCTGTTTGTGCGTTTCCTGATTGTTTCTCCCTGTTTGAAACCCTTTCCTGGTCACTTCTCCTATTTCCTTCATGACTCACGGAAACATCCAGTCATCCTCATTTCAACAATGCCCTTCGTGTGCTTACCCACTTTAGCACTCCATCTGCTTATTCCTTTTCTATTCCAGTACCTCATCTCCATATGCAATCACATGTCACATTTGGAGTAGTAGGGACAGAAGTTCAACCCCTGTGAACATTGGTTCAATCCCATCTCTCTCATCCCCTTTAGATGTTCTCTCCCTCTCTCCACTTCTTTACCTCCATTTCCTCCACTTGCTACCATACCTATCTCTCCGTGCCCTTCCTAGTTCTTTCCAACATCTGCCTCTGCTCCTGCATCCTCAAGTGGACTCGCCTCATTTCTTCCTGCGCCTCCACCTTCCACACCGCCATCAGCTCTCTCAGCTCAAACAAGTTGTCGGGATCCGTGCCCTCCTCGATCACACAGCTCACTGCACTCACTTTCTTGTAACTTGGCTAGACCTACCTAAATATCCCTTCTCATGCATCATGCATCCATATCATATTAAACTAGTGCCCATACTATCTTTGTTTTCGTTCGTCTCTTTGTTGTTTCTTAAATCTCTAACGGTCCTTTTCACTGAATATAATAAACGGTACTGCAAGTGTAGGCCATGCATGGACTAATGAGACTAACCTATTGCTACGAAGACGACAACTGGAAGCATGTAAGTGGTGGGACATAAGTGAGCTACCTAGGCGACTCTAGAAGCCCACCAAACAGCCTGTAAGTACCCATAGGTACTGGATTGACGTCTAGCAGGGGAAGGGATGAGCAAGGGGCGAACACAAACACGTTCGTGTTCGCCCCTGCACGAACACAGCCGTTCGCCGAACCGAACACTGTTGTTCGGTTCGGCGAACACTTTTAGCAAAAAACAGATGTTCGGTGTTTGCCTGTGAAGGCATGTTCGGGCGAACCTCGAACACGTTCGTGTTCGACGCGGGGCAAATTGCAGCAGCGGCCCGAACACGAACATGTTCGGGCGAACCTCGAACACGTTTGTCACGAACACTTTAAACTAAAAACAAAACCTGTCCGGTTTGCCTTCGTTTTTTTGCTCAACTCTTAGCAGGGGGTGGCTGGCCGTATTGTGTGCCTACGCTCTCTCTGTGTCAAGTGCTGACAAAGAGAAAATATCATAATTCTGTTTACCATATTGAGTAGAAAAAGGCGAATTTCAATTGTGATGGCAAATACTACACTAAAACCGTTTCATGTCGTGTGATACTTTTGTGTGGGACGGCTAGATCAAACACTTAGACCCTACTAGCAAATCTAGTTGCACGTCGAACCAGCCAATGCGCTTAAGGAACTGTAAGGGACCATTGGCAATACTTACTCTATTGCAGTCAAGTATATCTCAATCGCTTCCAGGGTCCTGCCTCACCAAAATTTCGAAGGGGATGTTAGTAGAACCTGAGGGTGGTGTGGTGCATGGATATTGTTTTGTTGTTGTTCATTTACATGCTTTTGGCCTAAAAATCAGAAATTCTAGTCGATATGAGGGAAGAAATTTGTCATGATCCAGAAACATACTTGCTCGCACTTAGCACCTCTTGCCCCATCTCTCTCACTATTCCCCCTCTTCTTTCACACTCCACTTCCCAATCATCTCCTCCTCTGAACAGTACCCTCGCTAGCAACCAGCTCACAGGTCCCATCCCCAACATTGGCGTGCTCACAAAGCTGGTCACTATGTATGGATTTTTATGCATTCTACCCCGTTGATTTGTTTGTCCTCGTTCTTAACATGGTCCCTACCCCCCCTCCCCACCTCCCCCCCTCCCCCCCTCCATTTCCATCACATTGGTGTGCTATTGTGTCAGTTAACTGTTGGATTTTCTTTGATCTTGTTTCGTGCGGCCAGGATGGCATTTCTTTGTCTGCCTTTGGTCTGCATTGTGTCTTCTGCTGTTATTGCCTGTTTATCTTAGTTCATATCCCCATTCCATCACTTTGTTGTAGTCGTGTGCCACCTGTCATCTGATGCTTTGTCTTTCTTGTGTTCAGAGTGTCCAAGTTGACAATTATTTAGTCTGTCCGCCTTTATTCTCCTTTGTTTCATGGGCTGTTTTTGCCTGCTCCACACATCGAATGCTATCATACATGTACGGCTCGCCCACTTTGTGACACCGCAAAACTGATGATTCTCTACAACTTTCTTTATGAACCTCCAGTGATCTTTCAGGCAACCAGTTTTCAGGCAGCATCCCTGCCAGTGTCAGCGCACTCACTTCACTCAATCTCCTGTAAGTCGAAAACACTTGAGGTGGGCAAAAAGGGGAGGCCAAGGCTCAACTGGGTGATGTGCCGGGTCCGGCTCAACGAGACAGACTCAACCTGCCTGCATGCTCCATCATTCCATGTAAGGTTGCCTGCACAGATGAATAGAGGCTCTAGTCCATTTCCATGCTCACATCTTTCTCTGCCTGTCGTTCCATATCATCTCTGTGTGTGTTGCTGCATTCAGGGTTCTCAATAACAATCAGCTTTCTGGCTCCATCCCCGAAATAGGTTCCATGACCAGACTTGCATACCTGTAAGTCCATTTCCTCGCCACCGAGAGTGGTGATGACAGGTTGCTGAGCTCCCTCCTCTGTGCTGAGCACATACAATGGAACCCAGACTCATTTCACCTAGGAGATAAAAAATTATGGCACCTCTGTTGGTATTCCATTTCCTCTTGGCACCCATAGACGCCCCAAGATTCCTCTCGCCCAGCTCAGGCAGCAATGTAGACTGCTGGCATCTCCTCGCCTGCTGCTATTTTTTTCTGTCACCCTAAAAATTCTCGCAACGCCACCCACCTTTGTCGGAAGACCTATTGGGTGGACTAAAATGGGTCGGACGTTTTGACCTAAGTGGGAATATACGCTCAAAATTGTTTGCGTTTAGCGTATACACGCTAGCGTGTATACGCAAAACGCTATACGCTAGCGAATACGCTATACGCTCGCCAATTTTTTTTTGGGGCAGCCCGGCCGGAAATTTTCAACCTAAACGGTTCGCTTCGGAATCGCACAACGAAGACATTGGCGGGGTCAGATGGCACGTCCGCACTGTGTGCTAGCGTGGACGTGGGTTGAAAGTTCGTGTCGCGAATGAAAGTCATGTTCGTTGAGTCGCGCCTGCACGTTCCCTCGCATTTTGGTGTTCACTCAGAGTACCGCATTCAAACCCTTGGCAACCAACACCTCTCCAACTTCTGTCGGCCATCTTCCCACTCCCACAATCAACTCGCTATAAAACACCCACACCCCTAACATCCAACTCATTAGGTCTTCTCTTGCTACCAGCAGAGCACTAGGCATTCCCTAGCGCATGGTGCCTATGTCGACGACTACCTCTCCTCCAACGCCACCGTCAGCTACCACCGTTGGCAGTTCGCAAACTCTTCAAACCGAGGAACGGGAGTATCTCCCCGACGTTGACCATGCCGTCTTCAAGCACTTCCGCATCATCAAGAGGGTTGAGGGAAAAGCTGAGCAGTACGAGTGCAAGTTCTGCAACAACGTCTTCACTGGTGCTGCCATCCGATGCGCGCAACACTTCAGTTCGTGGAAGGGGATGAAACGCCGTGAAGTGGCGCTTTGCAAGGATGCGCCGCAAAATGTGCGTCTGGCCATGCGCGCGAACTACGAGGCAAAGGCTGCTGCGGCCGAAGAAAAGAGGCGGGCAGCAGCTGAAGCGGTTGCCGCGGTGAAGGCTAACGGTGGGAAGCGGGCGCGCATCACCGATTACCTTGAGGGGGATGCGGCTGCAAGAAAGAGAGAAGCGGACAAGTCACTTGCGCTTGCTTGGGCCGCCCTCCACATCCCCGAGCGCCACATTGACCATCCTCTGATGGTCAATGCATTGAACAACGTCTCACGCGCTGGCGGCGACTACGTCTCTCCCAAGAGGAAATACATCGGCGGTGCCGGCCTTCTCTCGTGTTGCAACGGAATCGAGCAGGGTCTGGTGGGCATTAAGGCGAGCTGGAAGAGGACGGGCGTGACGGTTTCGTCCGACATGATGACGGACCGCAACAACAGGCCGCAGGCCAACGTGCTTCTCGTGAACGATTCCGGCGCCGTCTTCACCGACTGTATTGACTGCAACATGGAGAGGAAAACCGGAGGTTGTGTGGCGGGGATTCTTAGGCCTGTGGTGGAGGAAGTGGGTCCAGAGAACGTTGTTGCGTTCTGCATGGACCGGGGGTCGAACTATGCGGTGGCGGTGAAGCAACTTATACGGGAGTGGCCGCACATTCAGGATGCGCCGTGCGCCACTCACGTATTGGACCTTCTCATGGAAGATGTGGGGAAGATGGGATATGCTAAGCCGGTGGTCGATAAGGGAGGGGAGATATCAAGCTTCGCCTGCAACCACCATTGGACCTGAGGGTACCTGCGGACGCCGGAATTGGTGGAGGGGAAGGTTCTATAGGCGCTGAAGCCGGCTGGAACCCGATTCCGGACCAACTACGTAGCCATATTCCGGCTATGTGTGATGCGCGGCAGCCTTACCAACATGGTGACGAGCAACCAGTGGAAGGAGTGGGCGGTAGGGGACAGGAAGAAATCATGCGACGGGTTCAGTGCGCTGATCCATGATGCCGCCTGGCGGAAGACGGCCGAATTCTCCGTCGCCCTGCTGAAGCTGCCCTACAAGGCGATGAGGCATACGGACGGGCATGCCGTGGGGATGATGGGGAAGATGTACGATTTGATGCTGCAGTTGACCGAGGACGTGGGGGACTTGCTCGATGCGGACGAGGAGCAGCTGAGCAACGGGGACAAGGACCAGATCCGCCGCATCCTCAGAGACCGCTGGGACGGCAGCCTTGCATGCGCTATGCATGTCGCTGGCCGCATCCTCAACCCCGCCAATCAGGAGGAAGATATTTTCGGCACTGATCCCGAGTGCACGAGTGTCTTCAAGGCGTTCATCAGCCAACAGGCCGAGGTCCTTGAGAGCCGCGGGGATGGAGGGGATGACGCGTGCGACATTTTGCTTGAGCTGGGGGACGGGCTGAGGGCGTTCCTTGACATGAAGGGTTCTTTTGGAATGCCGGAAGCCGTGGCAGAGGAAGCTGGTGAAAGAGGGAAAGTATAGCATGGTGAAGTGGTGGCAGTGGAATGGGACTGATGCCCCACGAGTGGCGGGGCTCGCGGTACGGGTGCTGTCTCAGTCCGAGTCAGCCTCACCTTGTGAGCGTGGATGGTCATCGTGGGATGCCGTCCACAGCGCACGTCGAAACGGGCTCGGATCCGCCAAGTGCAGGGACTTGGTCTATGTTGCGCACAATTGGAATGTTGTGCGCAACTGGCACATGCGCGCCGATGTCTTGCCATATGTGGTGCCCGGGATTGGAGCGGAGCCTCCAATCCCGACGGGATACAATGGGCTGGAAGACGAGACGAGGGGAGAGGATGAGGAGGAAGGCAAAGACGACATCCTTGAAGATGAGTACGCTAACTTGAGGGGGCAAATGTGGCTTGCTGTTGGCAACTAGGCCTAACAGCGAAATGCTAGATCTGCACTTAAGCAACGGCGAAATGCTGGATCTGCACTTAAGCAACAGCAAAATGCTAGATCTGCACTTCACCAACGGCGAAATGCTCGATCTGCACTTAACTGATGGGGTAGCGCTAGACCTGCAATTAAGTAACGGCGAAATGCCAAATCTGAGCCCAAACACCAAGGCCGGCGATCTAAAAATTGGTCACGGGCCTAGTTGTCGACGAACACATTGGTGTTGGTCGAAGGCACGTGTCGAACACGAACATGTTCGTGTTCCATAATCCCTAATCTCTAATCTCTACAACAATCAGTTATCTGGCTCCATCCCTGCTGGAATTGGTTCCATGACCAGACTTGCATTTCTGTAAGCCCCTCCAGTCCCCCACTGATTCTCCTATCTCCTTTCACGCTTCAGAAGCGAAGTGAACTGTCTTCCTGTAGCCTGTTTGTGTTTCTCGTGCTTGAAAACTGGGGTCTGTTCTGTAACTCTTAGCTTACCCATTCTCCTCCCATTCCTGTCGCCTCTCCCCTTCCATCCTCTCTCATCCTCTCCTTACTCATGATCGCCATCCGACTGTTCAAGCCTTTTCCAGGCAACGTACGAGCCATGAGGCACGAAATCAAGGCCTTGCCATGGCATACGTCTTCTACGCACAACTATCACGTAGCAGCCGGACAGTGCCACTTCCTTCAATCCAGTTCGCCTTGAGTGAAGAGCAGTCTGCCCCTGGAATCTGGTCGCCTTGACTCTGGTCGCTTGCAACAACTATCAGTGCACCTCCTCACTCCACCGACTGCCCCCTGCCTGTGGCTCTGTCTCTTGGCTCGTGCCTCTTCTCAGGTTACTTGGCAACAATCAGCTCAATGGTGCTGTCCCTGCTTCCGTTGCATCCCTCACAAGATTGGTAAATCTGTAAGGTCTTACATAATCCGTCTCCACCCAGCTGTTACTCTTGTGTTTGTTATTTCGTCGACAGTTCTCTTCTCCCCTTCTTTCTCTATCTTCTGTCTCTCCCCTTCAATTGCTCCCTTGTGTTTTTTCTCACCACTTTTGGTTCTCAAACCCGCTCACCATGGTTTGAGTCAGACCAGCTTGGCTCAGCACGAAGGTCGTGTCAAACCTCAGGAGGTTGCACATGCCTTGTTCTGCCAGCCAGCCCCCATTCGATCAATCCGAAATGGCTTTGACCTGCTCGCATGCCTACTTGGTCCTGACTTCTTCCCCCCCCCCCCCGATTCTTTACTGCAGTGTTCCGTTCTGTTCTTTACCCTCCCGTTCGTTTTCCCCTCAATCACATCATTACTTGATCTTCACCTCACTTCCCTCACTTGCCTGTGGCTTGTATCCTCTTCCCCATTATTGCCCTGCTTTGTGCCATGTTCCTACTGTTCGTTTTGCTCATGTGTCACGTCAATTACGTTGGGTTCTTCTTATCTTTGGAACGCTTCATTTGTTCTCCATTGTGGGTAATCAGTTAATTCTTTGTTTGAACACGTTGCCTGCTGTCCTGCCTGCCTCTGTTTCACATTGTATCATATCGTATTATGTGGTAACCCTCTTTTGACAACTCCACGTTCGACTAGCCATTCTCTTAGATCTACGGCTCGCCTTTTTACCTGCAGTGATTTTTCGAATAACCAGCTCTCAGGCAGCATCCCTTCCAGCGTCAGTGCTCTCACTCAGCTCACCACTCTGTGAGTTGTGCTCAACTCAAATGCAGACACAAATAAAAGATGACCCACACCAAGAAGACAATCGCCCTATGTTTTCTTGGCCCGAGTCGAGCCACCTTGACGAGCCATGCTCTGCAATATCTCGATCAATTGTAGCCGGCCCTGGATTACCGCCCCATACGCACAGGGTGGTTCTTGTTTGACCCGTGTGTCAGAACTTGAGCTTAGAATCGATACTATAGTAGTGAGCTCAAAGCTCTTTAAGTACATCCGGAATGAGCAAGGTAGGGATGAGGAGGGAATCAGGAGGCAATCCTAGGGAATCAAGGGTAATCCCAAGGCAATCTCCAATTGGTGGGTTGGAGATTGCTTGGAGATTACATTTGGGTTTGGTTGGGATGTGGGTGTACACCCAACCAAACACAAAGTGCAAACTACACTAAACTAGGATATAAAAGTACAAGTACAAAATGTGAGATTGGGGCCTAACACCAACACCCCCCCTGAGGCGTCAATCGAACTCATGGCGGAGAAGGAGGAGCGCAGAGCCCCATGGCGCCAAGGAGACGATGGTGGGGAACCTTCCCAAGGGGCTTGGTGAACAGGTCAGCCAGGTTGCAGTCAGATGCCACGTATTCCACCTTCAGCTGCTCTTGTTGCACAAGGTGACGAATGAAGAAGTGCCGAAGTTCAATATGCTTGGTGCGGGTGTGATACACAGGGTCTTGAGAGATGTGGATGGTACTCTGGTTGTCACACCAGAGGGTGGGGGCTGACTGAGGGAAGCCAAGCTCTTGGAGTAGGAAGGTGAACCAACGGGCCTCCTGAGCAGCCATGGTGCCTGCGTAGAGCTCCGCCTCACAGGAGGAGAGGGAGACTGCAGACGACCTGGTGGAGCGCCAACTGACAGTTCCGCTCCCGAGGGTGAAGCAGTACCCCTGAGAGGAGCGCCGGTCGGTCTGGTCATCAGCCCAGGAGGAGTCTGTGTAACCTTCCAGGCGAGGAGGGGAGAGCCCACCGAGTGTGAGAACGTGGGACTTTGTGCCCTTAAGATAGCGCAGCACCCGCTTTGCTGCCTTCCAATGAAGATTAGTGAAGCGACCCGGGGCCACGTAACGAGAGAGAACACTGACTGGGTAGGCCAAGTCCGGTCGGGTGCACATCATGGCGTACATGAGGGACCCAACAAGTTCCGGGTATGGCTCAGAGCAGGCCTCTGGTGTGGGTACAGCAGGAGCTGTAAGGAGGTGTTGCAGCGGCAGCGGGGTGGCAACAGGTGTGCACAGCTCCATCTCAAACCGCTTGAGCACATTGTCGATGTAGAACTCCTGGGAGAGTGAGATGGTGCGAGCCTTGCGATCACGAGTGATCTCCATTCCCAGGTAGTGCTTGAGGTCACCAAGGTCTTTCATCTGGAGGGCCTTGCTCAGGGCTGCCTGGACAGAGGTCATTTGGGCCGAGTCCTTGGCAACGAGGATAAAATCATCCACGTAGACTAGGATGTAGAATGGCTCAGAATGACGACGGATGAAGAGAGTCGGGTCAGCAGTTGAGGGGTGGAAGTCCAGGGAGAGGAGGACTTCTTTCACCTTGTTGTGCCATTCGCGAGGGGCTTGTTTAAGGCCGTAGACGGGGCGATTCAGCTTCCAGACTGTGTTGGGAGGGAATTCTCCTGGGAAGCCTTCTGGTCTGTCCATGAACACTGTCTCCTTGAGACGTCCTTGTAGGAAAGCGGAGGAGGCATCCATGGATTTGATCTCAAAGTCTTCTCGAGCTGCAACATCCATGAGCGTTCGAATGGTGGGAGGTTTGGATGTGGGGGAGAAGATTAGGTCGAAGTCGCGGTACCGCTGCTGGGTGAAGCCCTTGGCTACGTAACGCGCTTTGAACACCGGTGCCTCGTCTGGGAGCTGTTTTACACGGAACAACCACTTGCCCCCGACGATGTTGACTCCTGGAGGTGGAGTCTCGTCATCGAAAGAGTGGTTGCGAGTGAATGCTGCAATCTCCGCGTCCATGGCAGCACGCCATTCGGCAGCATGAGGGCCTGAGAGAGCCTCTTGGACGGTGAGAGGGATAGGGATGGTCGGGTTCTCCGCGAGGTTGAGGGAGGGTGAGCCAGTGATATCGGGGAAGATGTGTGAGAGCTGAGGAATGACTGCATGGAGATCACACAGCTCCTCATGCCTGTCTTCTAGAAGGGTAGAGGGCACATCCCCCCCAGCAGGAGGAGGCGGTGTGATCATTGTGTATCGAAGAACCATTGCGAGTGGAAGAGCAGCGCGATGGGAGCGGGTGCCATGAGCCACCGGTGAGGAGGGCGGGGCAGGCGGTGTCGGAGAGGGTGACTTAGGAGGCTTGGGTGGGGGAATGGGCCGCCGGCGGTACGTGATCAGCTCGGGCGACTGTGGGAGAGCGGGTTCCTCTGTGGTGGGGGGAACTGGGGGAGGAGGTGGGGCCGGAGGGTGGGACCGCCGATGGTAGGTGATAGGTGCGCTCGGAGGGGGCGGCGCAGCGGGAAGTGAGGAAGGTGAGGGGGGGGGCGGAGCAGCCGCCGAAGACACCGGTGAGGCCGGGTCAGAGACCTCAGAGGGAGATGGTGGGATGGCAGGAGAGGGAGGAGGTGAGGGGGCAGGAGCAGGCGGGAGGTCGGGAGGCGCGTCAAAGTCTGCCCACACGAGGGAGGGTGGATCAGGGAGAGGGTCCCGTCCCGAAGGGGAGTAGAATGGGCGGGTCTCATCAAAGACAACGTCGCGGCTCCTGACCAACTGTTGAGTGGAGGGATTGAGGAAGAGGTAGTCAGGTGAGTCGGCGTTGTGCCCAAGGTAGATGCACGTTTGAGTCTTGGGACCGAGCTTGCCACCGTTCTGGCGTCGAGCCTGAGGGTTGAGGAGGACATAGGCGGTGCATCCCCAAACGCGAAGAGAGCGAGCAGTGGGCGTTTTCCCGAGCCAGAGTGTGGTTAGAGTGGTGTCGGGAAGGTGCGGATGGGGGTAAAGGTTGTAGAGGAGGGCGGCGTGGTAGAGAGCGTATCCCCAGAGAGAGTGTGGAGCGTTGGAGTGGCTGAGGAGGCACCGAGTGATCTGCACTAGAGTGTGGTTGCGGCTCTCAGCTATGCCGTTCTGTTGAGGGCTGTCAGGGAGGGTGAAGTTTTGCTGGATGCCTTCGGAGGAGCAGAAGGCTTTAAGCTTGTCGTTGCAAAATTCACCCCCCCCATCCGAGTGAAGGCGCTTGACCTTGAGGTCAAAGGTGGTCTGTGCCTGCTTGACCCACGCCATGATGACCTCTGGAGCCTCAGCCTTAGTGTGGAGGAGGTGAACAGAGACGTATCGTGAGTGGTCATCCACGATAACTAGGAAGTAGCGATATCCACCTCGTGCAAGAACAGGGGCAGGGCCCCAGACGTCCATGTGCACTAGGTCCAGTGGTGCCGCTGCGATTGTGGGTGAGGCAGTGTGGGGGCTGTTGGCGCAGTTTGCTCTTGGTGCAATCAAGGCACGTGGGAGCGGGTGAGTCAGGTGGTGGAGGAAGTGTGGCTGGCAGGCCGAGAAGAAGTTTCTTGGAGGCCATGTCAGCAAGCGTGCGGAAGTTTGGGTGCCCTAACCGATGATGATAGAGGATGGTCGGGTTGGAGAGGCTGCGACATGTGCATGGTGTGATGGGAGCCTGTGCTTGGGTGGTTGAAACCTGTGGGAGAGGAACGCGTAGCGTGTAGAGGCCGCTGCTATTGAGGGTGAAGCGGGCCAAGACCTTGTTGGTGAGTGGGTCAATGATGTCGCAGTGGTCCTCATTCTCCGAGAAGATGGTGCGTAGCCCTGCTTTCTGAATTTCTGTTTGAGCCACCAGATTGTGGCGTAGTGAAGGCACGCACATGCCAGTGACGGTGCCGGAAGGGAAGGCTGGGCATGGGACTGTGGAGGTGCCCTTGGCTAGGGTGGTGAAGCTGGAGTCAGCTCCCAAGAGAGGGATAGGTGCTGGATAGGGTTTGAAGGAGAGTGTCTCCTTGAGCACAGTGTGAGTGGCCCCACTGTCGAGTGTGAACTCTATGTACTGTGGTGCCTGTGATGAGTCGATGTACTGGGAAGTGGCTTCATTAATCATGGCAGTGCCAGGAAACAACAGGTTGATACGCACATCAACAGGAGCACTGTCACTAGCACTAGCCGAAGAGGGGTCCTGGACCTCAACGAGATTGGCCTTACGAGCGCGCATCCAGTTTGGCGGCTTCTTGTCAACCCCGTGGATGGCATACCACTCGTCGTCTTTCTTCTTGAAGCACGTGGCAAGGGGGTGGTTAGTGCCACCACACACTTGTCCCTTGCGGTTGCCATACTTGACGACGTAGGTGCACGGAGGAAAGCGGTTGCGCTGGAAAGGCGCCGAGGCAAGGGCTGCTGCAACACTTGCTAGGGGCATGGGAGCACGGATGGCGTATGCCTTGGCCTGAGCAGTGGAGTCTTTCTCGGCAGAGAGGAGTGCGGTGGAGACCTTAGCAAAGGTGAGGTCTTCCGCTGAGAGCGTGAGGAGCATCTTCCTCGTCACTTCATATGCCGAGGAGAGACCAACAAGAAGGGCGGCTGCAGGGGCTTGTTCGGGGAAGACTATACCCAGCTCCTTGAGTTCACCATGAATGGTCTGCACCTTGGCGATGTAATCAGCCATTCCTGAGCAGTCCTCAAGGCGGACTTGAAACATGCTGGGGATGAGAATCGCCACTCCGACCGCCGTCTTGTTCATGAACCGATCCTGGAGATACTTCCAGATGGCGTTGGAGGTAGGGTAGTTGTGGAACGTGTTGACAAGTTCGGGAGGGGTGGAGGCAATGAAGACGCTGATGATGGCAGCATCGGCCTTCTCCCACTTCCGGTACTTCTCAACAGCTTCTTCGTACGTCATCACGTCAGCATCACTTGAAGATTCGGTCGGTTCACGGGGAAGAGTGGGCTGTTTCCCCTTGCCACGGTTGAGGAGGACGTCCTTGAGGTCAAGGCCCTGCACGTCACGGCTCAGGAGGTGCTTGTCAACTCCGTAGCTCCACGCCTTGAAGTTGGAGCTAGAGCCATCGGCTTCAAGGCGGAGCGGGGTGATGGGGTTCGCCATGGTGGAAGACGAGAAAGCCATGGTGGAGACCCCTTAACTTCTCGCGCGGAGCGCCGCTCTTAAGTCACCAATAGGAACTTGAGGTTTGGGGTTTCCAAAGGAGATTTTGAAGAACCGGAGGTTTAGGGTTTACGAAGGAGAATTTGACTGAGACGCCAATTTAGTGTCAACTACCTACTAGTCCTATTCCCACACACCCCCCCACACACCACCCTCAGCTTCGCGGCTACGCTGCTGCTCGGCTGCGTTGCTGCACCTGTTCAGCTGCGGGAAAGAGGGGGGATGGGGGTAGGAGTGCAGATGCGGGGCGACGGGCGGCAGCCCGAAGATGACGCTGCGGGGCGACGGGCGGCGGCCCGACGAGAAGCTGCAGGGCGACGGGCGGCAGCCCGTCGAGGAGAAGAAGTGACGAATTGATGAAAACGAGTGTTAGGTTAGAGCGCCGACGATGCGCTTACCAGAGAAGTTTCCGTCGATGGTGACGGGAAGATTTGGCGGGAGAAATTCCGCCGATGAATGTCGCGAATCAACGGCGACGAGATTGGCGATGGCTTCCCCGAGGTTTGCGGGACAAGTATCCGCAGAGATGAGAGGATCACGATCCGCGTATGCGGTTGAGCTGCTCTGATACCATGTCAGAACTTGAGCTTAGAATCGATACTATAGTAGTGAGCTCAAAGCTCTTTAAGTACATCCGGAATGAGCAAGGTAGGGATGAGGAGGGAATCAGGAGGCAATCCTAGGGAATCAAGGGTAATCCCAAGGCAATCTCCAATTGGTGGGTTGGAGATTGCTTGGAGATTACATTTGGGTTTGGTTGGGATGTGGGTGTACACCCAACCAAACACAAAGTGCAAACTACACTAAACTAGGATATAAAAGTACAAGTACAAAATGTGAGATTGGGGCCTAACACCAACACCGTGTGTATAGCTATGGTGTACGTTAGCCCTTGTCTACAAGTTGCTATGAGTCCGCATGTGAGCTTCAATACAGCCTATGTGAAAAATCAAAGGCATTTGTTTCTCCATTCTTGACCGAAAACAAAGGTTTTGCATACAGCAACTCAATAAGACGATAGAAATGATAAACAACATAACATTACGGGTGGATTATAAAGTTATATAAAAATATCTATTACTCAGTTCCAATTAATAGGATAACTTGCTGTTGTAACATTTTACGAAGTAGCACAAGGTGATTGCTGAATGTGCTGCTGATGCACCTGGAGATGCTGTGAGCAGTTTTTTTCCACCTTGATTAGAGCAGATTTCCCTGTGCGCTTGTTTGTTTTGTTCCTCATTCAAGTCTCACCGTGCTGTGGTTCTTCCGATGAGTGAATTTGGTGATTGAGCCGGACCTCTTTGCCTCTCCTTGCATCTCATCTCGGTGTTGCTCCATTCAGGTACCTGTATAATAATCAGTTCTCTGGCTCCATCCCTGCTGAAATTGGTTCCATGACCAGACTTGTATACCTGTAAGCCCTACCCCTCGTGTTACATCTATATCATTTCTTTCCTCCCTGTATATCTCAGTTCAGAAGATCGCTTTACTGCCCAGTTTGATCTGACTCAATTGTTGAAACAAATCAGCTGCATCTGCATCTTTAGTCAGATCCCGAGTTGGTTGGGTCCCCAACCCCAACACCAACCCCGACCCCAACCCATCCAACGGTATCCATAAAAACATCCCCGTGGTTTGGATGATTCCTTGTAGGAATATCTTCATGCTTGCACCTCATACACCTTATTATCCTGCCTGTCATGCTAAAAATATTGCCATGCGATGCTCTTTGAGGTAATACCCTATTCTGTTGTCGATGGTTGTTGTTTGTTTGTTGTGCATCGCAGTTCATTTTCTCTGTTCTCCTACCATTGATTCTCCCATTTTCCCCCACACTGTGCCTCCCGGTCTATTTGACAGCTCTCTCCGCTCCAACATGCTGTCTGGAACCTTGCCTTCCTCCATCACTAACCTCACAGCACTCGCATATATGTAAGCTTAGCTTTGTACAGAAAACATACTCGTTTATCGCCAACTCAAGCGTGAAAAATATCCTTCTCCCCCATGTCAAATCTCCAGAGCCGTAGGAAACTACTAGCTTCCGCTATCGTAGTGCCAATGATACAATCGCCAGCCATGCTTCACAACGCTGTTGCATGCCATTTTGGCTGCCCATTCCTTGCCAACAAGGGTGCATCCCCTCTCTTCATTCCTCTCCACTCTCACCTCTCCTCTCACTGCTCACCCCTGTCCCCTCTAGTCTCTCACCTCTCACTCCCCTATCCCCTCTTCCCGTCTCCAATCTCCCCTCTCCCTGCTCGCCTCTCGCCTCTCTCCTCTCCCCTCTCCCGTCTCAGCCTTCTGACGTAGCTCTGTCGGTGTGTGTGAGGGCTCTGTTCACGTTATCACTCATCACTGCCGTTTTACCACTTTTCTCTTGCAACACATGAGGTTTTGGCAAGTTGATTATTACCCAGCTCGGTTGGCTGCCTGAGTTATGTATCGAAGAGAGTCGAGTGAGGCTTGGCCTGGCCTCCTCGCCTCGATACTCGCTCAAACATATGAGTAAAAATCACAACTGTCCTTACTTCGCCTCCCTGTCCAAGCATTTTGGATTGGCCTGAGCCCATCCATACCTTGTAGTCCACACAGGCTCTCATAGACATTGCAAATATAAAGCTTTCAGGCAGCCTTTCTTCTAATTTTGGCAGCTGAGCTGATAAGCTTACCTGTGAGCTGCACACAGCTGTGTGCCAGTCTCATTCAAGACATGCCAAGAGAAAGAACCTGCATTGAACCAACATTTGGTATTCTTCGCTGGATTCTTCCATTGTTCTTCATCCACTGCAGAACTAATACTTCTTTTGCTTCACTTTTCTTTGCTCATCTTCTCATGAAGTTTTGTAACATGTATCTCCTTCACCATGAATATCCCTCACCCTTGGCGATTCTCAGCGGCTTTCAATCAAGGTTGCTCATTGTCATCGGCTAACTGCCATAACATAACCACCCGCCATTCAGATACCTGCATCGCAACCAGCTCTCTGGTCCCATCCCAGAATCCATCACCTCCCTCACTGGTTTGACACATCTGTATGTGACCCTCTCGAACTTGCTCTTTTGCTATCATCCTTCTGCAATTCTGCACTTTAAATGCCATGTGTGAGTGTTTTGTGCAGTTAGAATGTTCCGCCGTGCTCTCAAAAAATTCTTCACAATTCTCACTAGTAAGATAGCACCTGGAGCTCATTCCTCTGCGTGCCATGCCCACCACACCACTCAGGCCTCTTGTTTTTAACAATCACTCCAGCCCCATCCCTCCAGGCTCCATCCACTGCCTCTCGTGCTAGGCATGAGCAGTTCACCAAACAGTGGTTCGCCTCGATGACGGCTTTTAATTGGGGACACGGATCAATTTGAACCAGGCGCTGCCATGTCTTCCACCTTCACTTCCTCTGTGGAGTGTTTTGATGCCCATAAGCCAACCTATTTTTCATTATCCACACCCTAACAGGGAACTTTCATACAACCAGCTTTCAGGCAGCATCCCTTCCGGTTTTGGCAGTCTGAGTCGATTGATTAGCCTGTGAGCTGCACACAGCTGTGTGCCGGTATGAATTAAAATGCCAGAAAATGAGGTTTCCAGGCCCCAGCACGTACATAGACGCAGCAGCTGGTTCTCAACATTTATCTTTGCTGGATTCTCTCATTGCACTGCAATTTGGTTTTCTCTTTGCCGCACTACTCTGCCCATTTTCTCTTGGAATTTCTTTGATTGACCAACCGTATCATCCCATGACCACCGCTGTTCAGATATCTGCATGGCATGAGCAAACGGTGAACCCGAACTGGTTCACCTCCAACATGCACGAACATGGTTGAAACCCAAACTACACACATTCGGTTCGTGTCGAGCCTTTGTTGGCATAGAAGGTGTTCGGTGTTTGAATAGGAGAGTCGAACATGTTAATGTTTGGGACTCACATGTTCAGGTTCGGTTTGGAGTTGGACTTGGTAGAGCAGAATGGGCATGGGAAAGAATCAAAACCAATGCAAACTCGTAATTACTTGCTTTGCCTACCAAAAATAAACACCAACACTAACTGTGATGTGCTGGTTTCCAGTCAAACATCCTACTGTTGAACCCAAATCCTAAGACTTGCATTAGAAATCCGGCACAGCTCGGCTAACCCTGGCCTAACTGAACCGAAATGTTTGGAAAATAATAAACCCCCCCGTTTAACCAGCTCTTTGGACCCATTCCAAACACTATCAACTGTCAAATTCATCCTTTTTGCCTCACACAAATTCATCCTTTTGCAATTGCTTCTTACCATTCAAAGGTGTACCCTGAATCCACTGCACTGCGTGCTATGCCACTGCATGCCACTCAGGTTTCTTAATTCCAACAATCTTTCCGGCCCCATCCCTCCATCCATTGGCTCTCTGCTCAACCTCGTTAACCTGTGAGTGCTGCCCTTTCTCTCCTTCTGGATTAACTGCCTTTCCTCTCATGCTGCCAGCTAGCTCGTCATGAGAAGACTTCACACCTGGCATAGACCTAGCTAAGGCCTGTTGTAATAAGCTGGCTGCCCAGATCCGACCCAAAAATTGTTGCACGCCTGCCACACAAGCCCACAAATCCGTCATTGAGCCCCATTGCCGCCCAAACCAAGGGCCTACAGGTAATGGGATCTGCGTTTTGAAACATGTGCATCCGTAAATGTTCATTTGCCTGTTTCGCCTGATCCTTGGTGTTTGCCCTTATTCAACCAAGAATCAACCACAATTTGTGGAGGGTACAACCAACAACCTTCACCTAAACAATTCTAGCATATGTATGTAGTAATAGAACATTACAACACCACAAACGTGTTGCAACGTGTCCCTTCATTTCCCTTCCCCACCCTTTGTCACACTAGCCCATCCGTGCCATAATTTGCCCTTCCTCTCCTACACACACCCCATTATCATCCTGTGCATCTCTCCGCCCCTCAGTTTTGTTCTCCTCACTTCTTGTCACTCGCCCGTTCGTCCTCTGCCCTGCATGCCTGTCTCGCAGTGATCTCTCGGACAACCAGCTTTCAGGGAGCATCCCTGGGAGCTTGAGTGGACTCACTCGATTGGCAATCATGTGAGATGCACTCACATTATCCTTCATGAGTATATGTCAGACATCACAGCCCGGTTTGTGGGACCCTGTTTGTGGGACCGTGTTTGTGGGACCCTGTTTGTGGGACCCTGTTTGTGGGACCCTGTTTGTGGGACCCTGTTTGTGGGACCCTGTTTGTGGGACCCTGTTTGTGGGACCCTGTTTGTGGGACCCTGTTTGTGGGACCCGGTTTGTGGGACCCTGTTTGTGGGACCCTGTTTGTGGGACCCTGTTTGTGGGACCCTGTTTGTGGGACCCTGTTTGTGGGACCCTGTTTGTGGGACCCTGTTTGTGGGACCCTGTTTGTGGGACCCTGTTTGTGGGACCCTGTTTGTGGGACCCTGTTTGTGGGACCCTGTTTGTGGGACCCTGTTTGTGGGACCCTGTTTGTGGGACCCTGTACACTTGTCACTTCGGATCTGGACAGCTGTGTATGCAGTTGGATTAAAAAATGCTGGCTTTGGTTTTCTACCTTGAGATCAAGATATTAAAATCAAAACAAGTCTGGTTACATAATGTGTTCATGCCCACACAACACATCAATCACACAGAACTCTACCTGCTTCCAACATGAATTTCCTATACATGCCTTAGAATGGGGTGCCAGGCCAGAGGGCCTGCCCTATCCGATGCTGCTTCGCAGTGAGGCTGCTCCTCCAGAGAGACTCCTTCCTGCTCAGTGGTGGTTTGTAGGGTCCTCATTCTCATTCATTTCTTCCCGGCTGTTTCAACCCCACCCACCATGGTCTCATTCAGAAACCTTTCCGACAACCAGCTTTCAGACAGCATTCCTGCTAGCTTGAGTGCTCTCACCAAATTGTCCTACCTGTGAGATACAACACCTGGTGGTTCACTCACTTTGGTGTTATGTGTACCAGTTCAGCGCTACATGAATGTGCAGTCTGTGCATCCCAGAAGTGAAGTGATCCACCATGCGTTTGAAACAGGAATCGTTTGTGTCCTAGTCTAAAATATTTCTCTTATCTTGCACCACTTTCACCTGACGCAACAACAGTAGTTTACTCTCCCATATGCACGTGACGCGTGCATGCACCAGTCTTTGTCTCGGGTGCCTCCATGTGCATGTGTGCATTCATGCCTCTGAGGGCTCTAACCTTCCTTTGGCATTCTGCGCTGTCTGCCCTTTTCTTTCTCAGATCGTTATCTACGAACCAGCTCACCAGCTCTATCCCAGCTGAAATGGGCTCCCTGGAGTCACTGGCAATTCTGTAAGACTTCTCGCCTTCATTCTTTTCTTTCTCACTGGAGTCTCCCTTCTATCGTGCCCTCATTCGCCCCCTCACTCGTTGCATAATGTGCTGCCATGCCTCATGCCATGCTTCTATGCTTCGTACCACTGTTGGGTTTTTTTTTTTTCACTTCTGCCATCCCATTCGTTACATAGAGACCTTTTGACCAATCAGCTTCAAGGCAACATACCTCATCAGTGCTCTCACTCACATTGTAGCCTTGTCATCGCACACCTCTGAACTCCTTGAGAGTGTGTTTCAGAGGAAATTGGAGGAACACGTCATTTGTATGATTAGAAACGTTGTCGTTTACTGAACAACTTTTCACAGCTGTTCTCACACACACCGGTTGCCAGGCTATTGACAGCCATTACATTCTGTTCGATGCCTGCTGTACTCACTTTGAACTCATGAGGCCATGGTAATCAATGGGTCTTATTGCTATCACTAACACCATGGCCGTTATTTTTTGTGACCAATAGCAATAAGTGGGCTGTTTTGTTTTGTGTTTACAAACATCACCCTGGTTCAATCACAGGTATCTACACAAAAATCAACTTAACGGCTCTATCCCTGCCACCATTGGCAGCCTGACATCTCTGGGCTCCGTGTAAGGCCTCGCCTCTTCTTTCTTTTCTCCCCGCTCCACTTTCCACCTTGCACTGCCTGGTGTCCTCCAGTTTCGTATCAATCCAATTGAAAAGCAGCATCCTTCTCTGAGCTTGTTTCTTTGGATTATTCTATCTGGGTGCCAGGATCGCACTCCCACTCAAGCAAGTGTCTTGCTTGCACCTCACTTTGCACACACTCCAAGTCCAGCTGGCCTTTGGCTGGTGGCTAGAGACCTAAACCTGTGCCTCAGCTGGGGCACAAGGACTCATGATTCTTCATAGCACAACTGGCCAAGGATTTTGTGCTCGAAGTAGTTTCCGTGTCTTGCTCTCGTCTAAACTTCGTGTACACCTCCCCCTCCCCCCCCTTTCATACTTCCCTTGCTGTCAATGTCAACAGGTATCTCTACTCGAACATGTTGTCAGGGTCGCTGCCGTCCTCGATAACAAAACTTACAGCGCTCACCAGTTTGTAAGCCTAACTGCCCCTTGTGGGGCTATGCATGCTCTTGTACTGTCTAGTTTTATCAAAACTTCACACTTGGTAGTACCATCAAGCCTGAGCATCTGGATTATGTCACTACCGGGCCTACACTCCCCTGTCTTCACTATCCCCCTAGCATCCGCAAGGCCTGCAAGCATCACTAGTCGAATCTGTAGCATCTACATTCTTGTACCAAGCAAACAGGGTTGCTGCTTCACCATCTCTTCTCAACTCTGGGGCCCGTCTCTTGCTTTGTCGGTTCCTCCTCATGTTGCCTCTACTCTACAACAGCCTGGCTGCACCCATTCATGAATAATTTATTTACCAATGTCACCAAATATTGAGTAGTTGGATATGTGGTGACAGTTTTTTTGGGGTGGATGTAGCGAGGGATCCAAGAGTTTTGTGTTGAAGTTGCTGAGGGGGCAGCAAGGCCTGAGCTTGGAAAATCGGTGGGAAGTGCTATTAAGGGCAAGCAATTTTAGAATTGCCTGAAGCGCACATCAAGGCCTGAGCTTGAACTGTGGAGGGAGCTGCACGAGTATGTTCGGTAACTTGCCATAGAGGGCCTACGGAGGCAGGAAAGAGCATTATGGAAGAACGTGGAAAGGAAGAAGAGAGGAGACAGCGAGAGAAACCATTTTTTACTTTGCATACGTGTCCGATTACTGGCTGCTGCCTCTCCTTGTGCTGTTGCATTCAAAGAGGCTATACCTCCATGTACATCCCCGAAAAAAAAAAAAAAAAAAAAAAAAAAAAAAAAAAGATTACCTGTCGCCTGACCTGACTCAACTAAATATTTTCTCCAATTACCCTTTTTTCTTCTCAGGGTTCTTGACAACAATCAGCTCACTGGCTCTATTCCATCCGCCATAAGCTCCCTCTCAAGACTATCATCCCTGTAAAGCACTTCCTTTCTTCATCAAATACTTTTCCTCCTCTTGCCCCTGTCCTCAATCCCCTCTTCCCCCTTCGTCTCAATCCCACACCCTTCTCTCTGTGTCATCACCACCATTTGGAGAAAAGAGATATGAACGTTTTCGTGCCACTTTATTGGACTAACCTTCTCCCTGTCGACCCAAATCCTTATAACAATCAGATCACTGTCTCGCAACCAGCTCTATGGACTCATCCCTGACTCAATCGGCTCCCTCACCAAGTTATCTGTCATGTACGTAGTGCCCAGCAACTTAGCTGCAATATGAAGTTCATCCAGCAAAGCTTCTCTGCGCGTTACACTGCTCTGATTGTTGATAAGGATTTTGGTCGATCATGAAGCTGAAATATCATGTAGGTGGGCACCCACTCCGCCAATGCAGTTTCTCGTCCAGCAAAGCGTCTCTGCGCGTTCTGATGCTGATGAGTCTGCTTTTCACACACGCGATTCTTTCTCTCCTGCCCGCTCCACCATAATCTCCTCCTGACACCATCAGGAGCCCATGTGCTTTCTTTCACACCCTAAATGCAAACATGTGCCGGCCTCACATGGCTCCAAGCGTTCTCAATCTGGCCATTCTCTCTTTTTTTTCCGCCCTGTCTCTCCACCACCACATGGGCTTCAGGGGTCTTGCCTCAAACAAGCTGTACGGCCGCATTCCTGACAGCTTCTCCAAGCTCACACACCTCACCTTTCTGTAAGCCACCACACCACTCTTTGCACCATAAGCCTCTTCATCAGTACTTCCGCACCAAATACTTCAGCGTAGTTACTACTGTCAGCCTCTGGCACAATGATTGGTTTGTTGCAAGCCATGGGCTCCAGTGATTTCAATTCGATGGCCCATGAATAAACTCCCCAGGATTACACATCTTGGATCAATTTGCCTGTTGGCGAGGTGATAATCTGCTTAATTACTTTGCAAACACTTATCCTCCTCACTTCCTGGGTCTCTCTTTCGCTCCCCCTCTCCTCTCCTTCTCCCAGCAACCTCTCCAGCAACTACCTTGCCAGCCCCATCACGCTGCCCGCCATCAGCACCCTGCGCCTCTCCAGCAATTTTCTTTATGGTCCTCTGCCCAACGGGACATGCCAGGCTCTCAATTTCGATAGCAACTGCTTCACACTTTCGTCTGGCTGCACTAATGTGGTGCAGCGGCAGGAAGCAGCATGCAATGCATTCTGTGGCGTCTCCACTGCAGCTGCTGCTGCTGCTCCTTGTGGTGGAGGAGGGGTGTGCGTTCCAGACCAAGTTACCCTGGTCCCAACCTGTCTATGCGATGCGGGGTACATCCAATCTGGAATTTTCAACTGCGTGGCTGACGGTAGGGAGCTCCCTGGTCGCAGCACACACAGAATTGGGGCAGATGCAGTAGGGGTGGAACATGGCATGGGCACTCTTTCTGCAAGGGATGCGAATGCGTGTGCCCTGCCATGTCACTGCATTACACCCTTCGTCTGATATATCACTGCACTGCTATTGCTCTCAAGACGCCTCACTTCATCATCATCTGCCATGATTAGGAATTCTCAGATTTCCTCTCATCCATTATAATAATGCTTGTGTGGCCGGCATGTATGCAGGCAGCACCAACAGCACCTCAGACAGCACCAACAGTACCTCGGGCAGCACCAACAGTACCTCGGGCAGCACCAACAGCACCTCGGGCAGCACCAACAGCACCTCGGGCAGCACCAACAGTACCTCGGGCAGCACCAACAGTACCTCAGGCAGCACCAACAGCACCTCGGGCAGCACCAACAGTACCTCGGGCAGCACCAACAGTACCTCGGGCAGCACCAACAGTACCTCGGGCAGCACCAACAGCACCTCGGGCAGCACCAACAGTACCTCGGGCAGCACCAACAGTACCTCGGGCAGCACCAACAGCACCTCAGGCAGCACCAACAGTACCTCGGGCAGCACCAACAGTACCTCAGGCAGCACCAACAGCACCTCAGGCACCACCAACAGTACCTCGGGCAGCACCAACAGCACCTCGGGCAGCACCAACAGTACCTCGGGCAGCACCAACAGTACCTCGGGCAGCACCAACAGCACCTCAGGCAGCACCAACAGTACCTCGGGCAGCACCAACAGTACTTCAGTCTGCTTGTCTATTGTCCCGCCAACAACTGTGCTCACCAAAGGGACGCAGAAGGAGACGGGGGGGGAATTCACCGCGGATCCAGTGCCTCTGTTTGTGTACGGGGCGGGACAGGTGGTGTCGGGGTGTGGAGTGCAGCTCGCCTTCCGGGCCAACTTCACCTTCTCCCTCGCCCCTCAATCCGGCCGTGCTGGCAACAACGGCTTCGCCTTTGTCGTCTCGGCAACGGACCGGGTGGGGAATGGATCTGGTGTGGGGTATGGTGGCATGGACACCCGCAGCATGGCGGTTGAGTTTGACACGCTGCGGGACAAGCTGCATGGCGACATGAGCACCCCGCACGTGGGGCTGAACATTCAAGGCCAGGACCAGTCAATAGCCGCTGTGAAGTCGCCGTTTCAGCTGACCAACAGAAAGGCATACACGGCGTGGGTGGACTATGAGCCTGGGGAGCCCGGCACCATCCAGGTGTTCCTGGCTGCCACGGAGGTGAAGCCAGCTCAGCCGCTGCTGGAGAGGAGGCTGGCGCTGTGTGAGGTGCTGCAGGCTGGAGCGGAGCAGCAGGCGTTCTACTTTGGCTTCGTGGCGTCCACCACTGTGAAGCCGTTCCAGATGCATCTCATCCTCAAGTCAGGAGTTCACACAGGTAAAAGCAGCTCTAATGTAATGGTGGTAGTGGTGGTGATGCTCATGGTGATCATTACAGTGATGCTGATGGTGATGGTGAGGAGGAGGATGAACTGGTGATATGCTCCTTTTTCAGTATGCTTTGAGTCAAATTGATGAGTTATGGCTGCCATGCCTGTATGTCCTCGTCCTTCTCTTTTCTGCAGGCCTTCCAGCTCCACGCAAGCCGGTAGACATCATTCCAGGTGATCAACCCGATCCCAGGAAGACATGCTTGAAAAACAGTTTTCCTTCTCGTCACCTCTCTGCATAAGTGTCATTCGGTCTCTTTTTCCAGCACTCAATGCTGTTTTTATTGTGCAATGCATAGCGCACTCTCTTTCTCTGCCTTGCCCTTTTTTTCAGCGATTTCAAAAGAACAACCCATGGAGACGAGACATGAGCAAGCACCCACATGTCTTTTCATCTCTCCTTTTCTGCAAACCCACTTTTCCTGCTCAGCCTTTGGTCTGACTCTCTCTGTGGCGTCATATGCGCCTGTGGGAGCCAGTCCCTTCATGCGCTACATGAGTGCGGACTACCGAGTGTTGGCCAACCAGCAGAGTGCATGGCAAGTCAGCGGCTCCCACTCCTGGGACTCCATGCCCTTCCTCGGCTGGCCGGTCAAGAACCAAAAGGACTGCAGTGAGTGGGAATGAGGAAGGTTTGGGGTATATGGATTGGAACAGTTTTTTTGTTGTACTTTTTACCCTGCTGGCACTCTCTCTGTATCAGTGATACTCCTTTTTATTCAATGAACTTCTGTGTTGCATCTCCCTTTCAGGTGCGAGTTGGGCGTATGCGGTGGTGGCGAGTGTGGAGGCAGCGTACGGCATTGCGCTGAACAGTGAGGCGCCACGGCTGTCAGTGGACTCACTCTTTGCAGCCATGGGGCTCACCTCCCTCACTGCCAAGTGCATGGCAGGCGGCTCTCCTGCCGCGGCCTTTGAAAGGCTTATCACTCTGCCCGCTGGTGGACTCACAACAGACAGCAAGCCGGTAGGAACGAGCTTTGAGTGAGAGACCAATGTAAACCAGAAACCCTGTGCAAGCATAATCGAGTGACCATACCAAAATGTAGACAGCAGCATAACAGTATATGCAGGTAGATGTGCGGACAGTGCCCTTGAGAAAAAGATACACGGGTAGCACAGCAAGTGGACAGAAACATTTGGCTGTGAGGTCAGCAAGTTTGCATTTGAATCTACCCTTGGTTGGTATGCATGCTGTGTATGCAAACTTTGCTTCTTAACAGGCTTTGCACGTCACCTTTAAACCCTTTCCTTTTTTCCTTTCCAAATCTCTAGCCCTCTTTCTGGTTGCGGTGTTACGACCACTCATTCATTTATCTCCCATTATACGCTGTTTGCTCCCCAGCCATCGAAGTACCCCATCCAGGGATTTGAGCGCACGCGGTTTAAGGGTCATGTAGGGCTCATGCTGGCAGTGCGACGACAGCCAGTGGTGGTTCACATTGAAGCCTCTTCTACCTCGTTTGTACAGTACGACGGGGTGAGTATTGATACTCTGATCATGTGGTCATATTGCAAGTTTCCTTGTAGGCATGCCAATGGGAAGTCCTTGTCATGCCTCAGGCTAAGGCTCAATTCCTCCTCTCTTGAAACCGATAAGACCTTCAACTGACATGGGTGCTCCTATTGGTGGCCACATGGAACCGATATAGGAAACCGCATGTCTCATATGACCGCATCTGTGTCTACCTTCCCTGTGCTCACCATCTCCTTCTCTCCTCCAGACTTTCAAGTACCAGGATCCTGCCTGCTACACTGGCAACCTGGACCATGCTGTACTCGTTGTTGGGTATCTCCTTTTCACAAATAACGGCCGCCCGAGCCAAACTGCTCCACCGTTTTGGATCATCCGCAACTCGTGGGGATTGGAGTGGGGAGACAGGGGCCACATGCGCATGGACATTCAGGGAGGGGATGGTGTGTGTGGCATCAACGTGTTGCCAGGCATCTACCCCATTGTCAAGAGTGAGGCATCTACCCCATTGTCAGGAGTGAAGCATGCACCACGTTGCCACTAGTTTGTGTTTGCAACAATATGAATACTTTCTGTATTTGCTCAGCGGGCAGAGACACCTTCACAGTTTTGAATTCGGCCCACTTACATGCTTGTCCCATTCTTCACACACGCTACCTTTCCAGTTCCCAAGGACCCTTGCGGCCAGAAGAGCTACAAGGGCAATGGGGATTTGCAGCCCAGCATGAACCCGTGCGGTCGCTTCACATGCCAGGCGAACACGAAGACCAACAGCAACACCTGCAACTGCACCATACCGAACGAAACCGAGCAGCCCTTTGTTGCAGTTCCGATTGGGCCTGGCTCCAATACTTGTGCATATGGTGAGTCGTTCTTGTGGCTAAACATGTCGCTCTGAACCAATCATGAGTCGTTTTCACGCGTACTGCTCTTCCCTTGCGGTACGCTTGGAGATCCTCAAATGCATCCATGGCATGGTGGTAAATGTAAACCTCTTTCATCATATCTGGATCTTAAGGCAGGGCGTCTGCTCCTTCATCTGCCCTTCCAAATGCTGGCAGGTTGTCGTTTGAATGCTTTAAATCTCAACGCAGGTGTCCTCCACGCCCCCCCCCCCCCCCCCCCCCCCCCCCCCCCCCCCCCCCCCCCCGTCCCTCCCCTCCCCGCCCTCCCTCCTCTCGTTTCCCCCACCATCAATCCCTCCTCTGCCGCGCATGTCCTCCCTGCTGCAAATCCAACAGTTGATGTGTGCGGTTCCTACTCTAGCAACCCCTGCGCTGTGGGGACATGCATCAATGACGGCAAGGGTGCCTACTCCTGCATCTGTCCTCCTAACTACGTTGGCAGCATAACCGTTGACAACCTCCCCACCTGCGACCCAGGTGCTGTTACATTGCTTTTTTTATAACCGTGTAGATCCACCCTCCTCAGTACTTGATCTATGATCTTCTGCATTCTCTTCACACCTTCTCTTCTGTACCGGCCTCCTTCCTCCTCTCCTTGCTCCAGCCAACACCACGGCCTCCATGTTGACAGTCACTGGCGCCAATTGGCTGTGCTCGGATGTCTTCCCTGCGGCTGGCATCTCCTTGGCTGGCTTTGCATCGCAAAACATGGTGAGAGGGGCAAGTCATGGGCGCACTTGCATTGAAACGACAAGTTGAGTGGTGGCAACGGTACACATTTACAATAGGCTTGTAGGGCTGGTGGTCTCCAAATGTTGAGGCCCTTCTTCTGATGTATCCACCACCACACTCTATCTCTAATCAGTTTTGCATGTTCTTTCACATGCAGGGCATTAACTGCAGCCAGCCTTTGCCTGCGGGCAAGGTGATTGGGGTGGGAAGCGTCACCCCCTGCACTGCATTCTTCTATGCCCTCAAAGTGAGCCTGGACCAAGGAAGCGGAATATATTACTCTTGCTCGAAGGAAAAACCCTTCCTCTATCCAATTCCCACTCTTCCCAACCTTCTCACCTTCTTAAAGGAAGTTTTATCTCTGTCATCTGTAGCTGGAGACGACCCATTGTTAACGTGTATCATCTGCACTAAGTCGTCTTGTCTCCTCTCTCCCCCACTTTATCCTCCAGGGTGATACCTGCTCCTCTATCAGCGTCCAGCTGGGACTCGCATCGACTTACCTTGCCTCTCTCAATCCCGGCCTGGACTGCTTTGAGCCCATCAAGGCGGGCCGCTCTCTCTGCATCGAGCGCAACGCCACCTTCGCCTTCACCGTCCCTCGCTGCTTGCAGTACGGCATGCTCTCAGCTCAGGACACGTGCGAGAGCCTGCTGCAGCAGAGCAAGGACTCTAGTGGGGATAAGAACACAGGAGCTGAAGTGGTGACTGCAGCCAGCTGGATTGGTCTCTACCGCAACAATCCCGGCCTCATCTGCCCCCGCACCACCCCTGCCTCCAGTGCTACTGTTGCCAGCACTCAGGTGAGGGGTGGAAGGTCAATGTCAGATAATATGGTAGGTTTTCAGTTTTATGTGTTCTTCTAGCCCTTGCATTCTAAATTCCAATTGTTTCGATTGCGCTGTATCCACCTTGTATCCAGGTTTGTCTCAAGGCCGAGTACGAGTCCATCAATACTAACACCTGCAAGGTGGGCAGGCTCAAGGTGGTCTCACCACTGCTCACATGCCAAGGTGCTTTCAGCTTCTTCGGTGGAGCTAAAGCTGGACCAGCTGCAAAATTTACTGAATACAATGAGAAGGCATGCTCCGAGACCGTAGGGGTTACATCTATTTGTGTGCCGTATTGACTCTTTTAGCATTAGGTGGGTGAGGCCTTAAGTTCCGTAATCTCCCAAATTCCAGACCCCCTGCAACAGAAGACCACAGAGGTCTGTGATATGGGTTTTATTTCGCCAAGTTTGTACTATTCTCCCTTCCTTCCCCAACTCCCTCCCGCTCTCCTTCCCTCCCTCGAACTTGGGCACTGTGTTTTAGGGATATTTGTTGCGTTTTTGTGTGGTATCCTAGCTTGATCAGTGTGTGAACAGAGTTACCGTCATCACCCGGATAACGGGATATTGCTAAGATAATGGTGGTTCATCTGATAAGGGGGGAGAAAGGTGTCTTACGGTATTAGTCTTATTTAGGGGAAACACTCAGATAAACAAATTGCTCTCAAACAACTGTATAAACACAGAATCAGCTTACCACACATCAACCAATGTTGGGGAGGTCGTGACATTGTTGGAGACGCTGCATTGGGAGGAAGACGCGGTAGGTGAAAGGGGAGGGATACAAGCATAGAGTGAGAGAAAATGTGTATCCCCTAACATGCACCTCACTAAAGGCTAACTGAAAAACTAACAACTACCGTCATCGCCCGGATAGCAGGCATGTATGTCTTATCTCGTACACTACTCAAAATGCTTGGGCTATCTTGTATATGGGATGGTTTAGGGTGTCTTATAAATCTTATAAATAGAAAAAAATATAAGAACTCTATAACATTTGCAAAGTGTGTGGAAACCACCCAAGTACCATACCATTATATATTTGAAATAGGACGACCTCAGTGGTGATGCATGCAGCGCCTCTACTTGCCAAGTAAGGGATGCAGCAAAGCTGCCATTGCTGGCAACATCCCTCCGTGCTGGCATCATCTAATGATGCTGCCAGCAGCGCATGGATGCTTCCGGAACGCTGTTGGCAGCACGATGGCAGCGTGAAGGCTGTTCTCTACGAGGAGATTCCTCATAGAGGAGGCTCGGCACCTTTGGAAGGGGCACTCTGGCTTGGGGGGGGGGGGGGGGGGGGGGGGGGGTAGTCGGGCTTGAGCTTCATTTGGTGTTTAAGGAGGTTGAGATCTCAACTCAACCTTTGCTCTCGGCAGGCTTACCGTAACCATGCGCAGCAAAGTCCCCACAGGTACGTCCTCACCTCGCCCTCACGTGCAGGTGAATAACTACAGGCAAATTAACTCGCCCAGTGATGACATCCGTGTAGCCATGGCGAAGAATACGCGCAAGCGGGAAGATCTACCGTCGCCTCCAGTGCGAGCTGTGACGGGGACGACGGCGACGAAAGCGACGAAGAACACGGCAGCGACGGCGAGGAGGATTGGACGGAGAACGGCCATGACGACGGCGCTTTGGGGGATGAAATAGCTCCTGCCAACATCAACGAGGACAAATGGTGGAATCGGCCGGTTGGGAGTGACGACGAAGTGGAAGAGTGGCGGGCTGGTGATTCAGACAACGACGAGGGTGCCGATGCTGATGGTGAGCATGCGGAGGCAGCGGCGCATGCAACAGGAGCGATGGTGGATGTGAATGCTGTCAGTAGATCTGCACTGTGGATGCCCGATTGATCCTGGAGAGGGTTACAGGCGCGTTCGCCTGGGGGGTTATGGGCGCACTGACCCGCTACTAAAACAAGCCCTTTTATCCCAATGGTCTAGTGGTTGGGATTATGACATGGTATCAGAGCGGTCTCAGGTTCGATTCCCGGTGTATGCACATGTAGGCCATTGCCGCTGTGCTTAGTCCTGGGCCTTCCAGTGTGGGGGAGTGTCAGTAGATCTGCACTGTGGATGCCCGATTGATCCTGGAGAGGGTTACAGGCGCGTTCGCCTGGGGGGTTATGGGCGCACTGATCCGCTACTGAAACAAGCCCTTTTATCCCAATGGTCTAGTGGTTGGGATTCTGACAAATGCGGAGGCTGACGACGAGGCGCATGCGGAAGCGAGGATGGAAGAGGAGGCGGAAGCGGATGCTGATACTGTTGCGCCCACGGATGTGGCCGCAATTGCGGATGCGGATGCGAATGCTGCGGAGGGAAGTGCTGATGCTGTCTTCTTTGATGGTGAAAACTCCAATGACAACCCGTGGAGCATCACGGGTGACGACGATGTTCCGCTACTGGCGGAGGCTGCGTCATCGCCTACAGTCTAAGCGGAAGCGTGCTCGCGTGGTGCTCTTTGATGACGACAGTCCGGGGGAGGAGCGTCAACCGCGCATCACTGCTCTAGACAAGGGGAAAACCAAGGTCGCGGAAGCCCCTGCTAAGGCCACCGTTCGTCGCCGCACAAGAGGAAGAAGCGGAAGAACGACGGCAACCCCGGATCCAGCACGGGTGCTGCTAAGACGAAGATGAAGAAAACACCAAACAAGGACGAAATCGTGGTCAACGAGGCGCTCGGCAGCGATGATGACTACGCGGAGGCAGCAGGCCCGATTCTTCCTTTCCCTTGAGAAGGCCAAGCCAAAAGACCCTACCCTGCATAATCCCAACTCCTGTCCACCTTCCCCTCGTAGCAATGACAATAAGTAAAGGCGACGCGGATGGACCGTACGCAGGAAGCTCAAATGGGCGCGCCGCTGCCAAGAGCTCGGCACCTTGAAGAAGACATCCTTGGAATCTACCGCATCTATTGCCTGCATCAGACGCTAGAGTGCAGAGGCTGCTACGGGCGTCTACAAAGTAGCGGCGAGCTGCTACAAGCAGAAGCACGGGGGGGGGGGGGGGGGGGCGCCACGCACACTGCCCCGACATGGAGGCGGCGTTGTACCTCTACGTCTGCCTGCAGTGCGCTAATGAGGTGGCGATCTCGGTGAAAGACACCCAGAAGTGGAGCCGCAAGTGGATGAAGAAACACCACCCCAGCAAGAACTGGAACGTGAGTTCTCACTGGAGCCAGCATTTCTATGACCGCTGGAACCTGGTCATGCGTGTGAAGACCAAGGCCGGCCAACGGTTATCAGATGGTGAGTGTTCAAGGCCTTGAATCCGCGCTCGATGATTGACTGCATGTTCCTTGCCCTTTGCTTCTAATCATCCCCTCTTGCCGTGGTGTGTGTTCCCTTTGCAGAGTGCACTAAGGATCGCGAGTCGTTCTGGAAGTTCGTGTGCATCAACAGGGCGTGGCACAACATCGACCTGGCCCGCATCATCAACGCTGACCAGACGCCACTCTTCATTGAGATGCCGGCCGAGAGGACGATTGAGCACCGTGGCGCGCGCTCGGTCCCAACCCGCACTGCAGGATGCGAGAAGATGCAGCTCACGGTGATGCTCGCATGCACCGCATATGAGAAGCTGCGCCCTTGGGTTTGGTTCAAGCTAAAGAACGTGCCCAGCTGTGAGATTTCGGAAGGTAAGCTCAAGGAATCCGGGAGCCGTAAGCCTAATGAGCTTGCACTCCTTGACTGATGCCCGTCTATTCCCTATGTGCCTGGCAGGAATTGTATGCCAAGCACAGGACAACGCGTGGATGGACGAGAGCGTTGTGCAGACCTGGCTGACCAAGGAGGTGCTGCCCCATCTGAACTTCCAACGTGGCCAGAACGCAAGGCGTTCGATGCTGGTGCTGGACTCCTACCGCGGCCACATCACCCAGACCATGCTTCAAGCTTACCGCACACACAGCATCACCCCTACAGTGATCCTAGTGGTGCGCACGAGCCAGATTCAACCCCTTGACGTCTCCATCAAGTGGTGCTTCAAGGCTGCTGCGCGAGCGCGCTACGCCAGGTGGTTCATGCGTGAAGAGATTCACCTGAAGACGAAAAAGGGTGAGTAGCCTTTTGAATTAAACTTGTGCACTGTTTTCTTTCCATGTCTCTAACGGCTCGCTACCCCTGCCTCTGTCCCACCCGCAGGGAACCTGTGGAGGCCTCCGCACCCCGTGTTGTTATAGTGGATCGTGGAGGCATGGGATCAAGTCCCTAAGAAGGTCATCATTGATGCGTTCCGCCACTGTGGGATTTCAAGCAAGCTGGACGGGACGGAGAACCACCTGGTGATGTCTCACCTGCACGCCAGGAGCACCACCGATGTCTCCGAGGACATGTGCCTCGGGGGAACCACGGGCGACAACACGCGCCTGCTTGGGCAGGCTCCAGAGGAGGAGGAGGAGGAGGAGATGCAGGCGGAGGGCGTGAGGGAGGTGGCCGCGGCAACCGGCCTGGATGTGCTATACCAAGAGACCCCCAACTACCACGGAGTGGCGGCTGAGGCTGACCGCATGATCGAGCCTAGAGAGACGGCTAGGCATGCCTAGCGAGTGCCAGACCTAGGTGATAGGGAGCCTGCTGTTAGTGCAGGTGAGGAGGCTGTGATAGAGGAGGGCTAGGTAAAAGTAGAGATTCATAGATGTATACATGTACCCCCCTAACGTAACTAATTACCGTTTAGAAGACACCCCCTAATTATAAGAAAACCCCGAAACCCCTGTTGTGATTATAAGACATATATGTCTTATCTCGTACACATAAATAGGTGTCTTATAATGAGGCTAGCCTGTTTATAAGAGACACCCAGATAATAGAAAACCCCTGTCTACTATTCAACACTGTCTACTATCCGGGCGATGACGGTACGAATAAAACTTTGACACACCGCCATAGCATAAATGAGGGGCATCACAATAATCAAGAAGTGAGTGGTCATAAGACCAGTCTAGAGAAGAAACAAAACAAAGCTCAGGGTGGATCTCAAGTGTAGGGGTGAGCAAAGAAACGAACACGTGGCGAACCGAACAGGTTTTGATTTTTTGCGAAAATTGTTCGCCGAACACTATTCGAGGTTCGTCCGAATACGTTCGTGCTCGTGGCGCTGCTACAGAACGCTCCGTCTCAAACACGAACTTGTTCGAGGTTCGTCCGAACACGCCTTCACAGGCGAACGCCGAACACTGTTTGGTTCACCGAACGGCCATGTTCGTGCAAGGACAAATGCGAACATGTTTGATTTCGCCCTTTGCTCACCCCTACTCAAGTGTTATAGTCACAGTAGGCCCAAATGTGCCTA